AAATAGTTACTTAGGTGGGAGTTGGACTTAGCAGAGTTGGACTCTGTGTTTCRATTTCCCACAGGTTCTGTGGGCACCTGTAGCAAAACAGATTCCTTGGGATAACCCCTCCATCGTGCAGTGGTSTTCCCCCTGTCTGCAGTCAGTAATCTGTGTTCTTCCTTACACAGCAGTACAGACAATGGGTTTGCTTTGAAGACTGCTTTTTATGGAAAGATGGAAATGCACATGCAGAATGTGTATTATTCAGTGTTAAAATAAACTTGAAATTAAACTGAAATTAATCAATGATTAAATAAACTTGATAGAAAATAACTCTCAATTAYATGATACATCTTCAGTTGATCTTCCTCATTCTTCATCCATTAGGTCTCAGTCTTGTGGCAGTGTAGCTTAGTGACATCACATCAGTGTAGCTCTCGTTGAGCTCRGTGTCATCACTCCTCATTGACAGCACAGCCACGACTCAGAGCTTCATCAGAATTGATTCTGCTACTCGCTTTGTGGTGATTGCCTGTTTTTTCTATTTGTTTCAAGGCTTATTTGTTTTTTCTTTGTTCAGCATCATTTTATCCTGGAAACTGAGTTGCAAGCGAATTAGATTATTTTATTTTATTTTCGATTTTTTTTTTGTCCTAGAACAAGTAAATGCATATGCACACTTCAGCTGGCTGCTGTCATCTGTTCAATGGGAGCAGACCTGAACCTTCTGACTTTGATGGCYCAGCACTGGGTCTGCCTGGAGGAGACCCAGTCTCAAGAGTTCGTCCCTTACAGTTCTTATGAATTCTTTTTCCTTTTGGTCTTTTGCCTGTGCCAGTATTAAGGCCACATCTGATGCTTCTTTAGCTTCATCTAATGCCCCTACCAACCCCCACAAAATTTTCTTTTTGCTCTTACTTTGGTCTACTGCTATGTTTTCCTTTGCACAGGCCCTGACTCCCTTTAATTTTCTTGCCCCCAGTCCAAAATTGTCAGTGCTTCTTGTGTTTCAGTGAATCCCAATTTGTATTACAGAATTTAAAGATATGTGCAGCAATCATTTAACCTATGACTGGCATGCAACCTTTTTTTTGGAATTCAGGTTAGGCTTGTCTTAGAACAATGGTTAGAGATCAAACAGTTTACTGCATCTGRTTGTTGAGGTGGGGTTGTAGTTTTGTTTCATCCTCTCATCCTCTCCATGTCTACAGTAGGGTTTCTGCCACTACATGTCGATTGACAGTTTATGTTTTTACTCCTCCAAAATACATTACTAATGAAACATCTTAAATGCTAAATCAGGTTTTAGCCCATATGGTGCAAAGCATCTAGAGAAAAARCTTAAGAACACTACAGCTTGAATATCAAAGACATGGTGGTGGTAGGGAATGCATCTCTTTGCTGCAGCAGCTCTACTAAGAAGGGACCTGTTYAACTGTGTAGATAGAGGTATAATTGAAGAAGAGCTGTTGGACCATTTAATTGAGCAAGTATTATCCACAGAATACTTGCAAGTAAAGGGTTATAGTTGTTTGTACAGTTTAGGTCATGGAAGAAAGTTAAGCGCCATGATTTRAGTGTGAACCCAGAGAAAAACCTTGTCCTTGTGATCTGACACACTGTGCAACTTTGATCTGTGACACAGCAGTTCCTTGGTGTGCCAGCAGTTCAAGACCTGGGACRTGCAGATACAGTCTTTTCACTCCACTCAACTATGAATGAAAAGATGTATCTTCTAAATCATAAATCACATTGSAGGCAGTTTTCCAAAGAGAGACTGTATTCTTGGTGAAGTTGTAGATTAGCAAAGCCACTAATTATATCTTACCCTGTGTCATGGGTTAACTTTTGATCAATGAAATGAGCATTGCCCTAGGGAAGTGTAGTTCTAGGGRTCATCACTGCTCTGTGAAAGAGGGAAATTGACTTCAGAAAAGTCTTCTGGAGATGGACTCAGTGTACCTCTGCTAAATAGTAAGGCTCATTCTACTTTAACTGGCATTGGGCACAACTGGTCCTTCCCTGTAAAGCAGAGCCAAAACATGGGTGCAGTTTAAAGTAAATGCATACCWATTCAATAAATAGATGCATGTATGCTTAATTATTTTTTTTGGTTTGTTTTTTTTTAATGAACGAAAATCTTAATTCTACTGTGATTTGCCATGAGGCAGGGAGAGATAGTACATCAAAGACTGATTATACTTAAGGTTGTATGCTACTCCATTAATAAGCTGATTTTGTTGTCGTCTTTTGTCAGCTAATAAATCTGGCTTTTGTAAGTAAGTTAATTGTCGTGTAATTTGGATTGATATTTCCAGGGGTTGTGTTGTTTTTGATCAGCAGAGCTTTTGCTGTAGCCTGATGGCAGTATCAGCACAAGGAATGTTTGTTCTTCCAGTTCTTTTTGGTGCTGCAATCAAGTGGTGGGGAATACAAGCAGCAGGTTGTTATTGCAGCATCATCCTTGATTCCAGGCTCCTACATTATGGGTACATGTATCCATTCTTACATGCACACAAAATAAAGCACCTTTTTGGTTTTATGGGTAAAAAGTGAAAAAAAACCCAGTGTCAGATCTCAAAGGGATTTCCCTCTGAGTTGTGGTACTTGGTTTAACTTCATAGGTCCACCCAGCAAATGCAGTGCTCAGCCTTGGATGGATGAATTGGCTCAGAAAGCTTTCTGACTGCCAGGAATTGGAGCCACAATGAGAGACTCCTCCATCCTTTGCATTATTGTTTTCAGCCATTTGAAAGTGCAGTCATCTGAAACTTCCTTTGATGACCTGTTTGTTTGTCAGTTAGTGGTCTCAGGAGCTTCATAAATATTCAGCAGTGTAGTCTTTCTTACTTCCAGATGGTGCTTTAGCTTTCTTTTGCAGGAATACAAGCTAARCCATTGAGATTTTAAAAATGGTGCTGACTCGTAACCTAGATAACTCAAAGATAAAAAGTAGATTCGGGTACCATAGTCCTCTACAGGTGCTCCTTTAATTTTGGTGGTTTGAATGACCATAATTATGTATTTTAAAACAGCTACTTCCCATCTCTTCTGGCTCTTGAAAAACAGATGCAAAATAAGCAAGGCAGGGGTGGGCATGGGGGAGGTCTGTGTGCAGCTTCTGTGCCTTCTCTGTTTTAGTTTATTACAGGTGAAGCTCTTGGAGTCTTCGGAAATAAATGGTGCCTCCACTCCCCATCTTGTGTGCAGTCAGATGTAGGTGTGTGGAGGCMGAGATAAAGACTGCTCACATTCCTAAAATCCTTTTTMTTTTTGTCCTAATGGCCTCAAGAASGGCTTCTAAATTTATGGGCTCTGCCTCTTCTCTGCTCTTCCGGCCCTACAAAATCTATGCTGTGCAGCATCGGCCAAGGGGGCAAGTGCCCATCACCATGGGTRAAGTGCTCCAACCAAAGGCATGTTGAAGAGCAAAAGGGTATCATGACCACTGGTTTAACAGAAGGCAGCAGCTTCCAGCCCATTTTGCAAGGAGCTTGGATCTGTCCTTGACTTTAACATATGTCTTGAAAGCTCCTGTTAGATTGACTCACTGTGGGAGCATTGGAGGAGTGCTTAATTTCTTGGTCTCAATGGGACTGAAGGTAATGGTGACTTGCTAAGTCTTAGTAGTTGTGTGAGGCCTGGTACCTTTGAGTATGAGCAGTTGTTAGGTTCCTGGGAAGCTTTAAAGAAGGAAGATTGCAGATGGGTCACTTTCAGGCTCAGTGACAGCAAAATGTCTTTTGGCAACTTCCGCGGCCTGAGTCACAAACTGGGTGCCTGAGTCTGTTTGTGAACCTTGCCATGATGGTCATGTCAGATCCTCCAGCTTGCTTAAATAAATCCTCCTCCTTATCCTCATCAGAAGAGCATGTAACTGTTTTCACTTGCAAAACAACTGATTATGTATTCATAGAACATCCTCCTCCGGCCCCAGTTAGAGGCTGAAGCCTATGTGACAATGTGTTTTGTGAGTGAAGCCTCGTTAATTGAGCATGTAAATGTGTAATTGTCTGTGCAGTTATTCAATTGACATGTTTTTAGTTTGCATACAAATATGGGAGCACASTCATGAGGTTGAGCAAACTGTCCAAGATCAGATGTTTAAATAAATACATACATTCTGCACACAGATGTGAACACCCTTAAAAGATCGATCGATTTGTGGTTACCTCTTTTCTGTTTGTAGGTGGATATGCTAATCATCTCAGTTTCATGTAGGTCTGTAACATACCACAGATTCTGTGTTGCTTTGGTCTTTTTCCTTACTAAATATGTTTCATTGGTGTGGGAAATGGGAGTTACCACAGGCATTGTTCAGAAGTTGCCCTTGATGTATGTCCTTGCTTTTAGTGAAGTACCTTGTGCTTACAATGATGGGTGCTGTAACACCTTTAAAATTGTTCTATGCATGTGAAATACTAATTTAAAGTGTGGGGTTTTTCAGAGTAAAGGCTGCTTTAAGAATGGGAGTTGTTGGCAGTTGCAGTCCAATGCAACTTCTGAGAAGCAAAAAAAGGCACAAAATTTGCAAATAACAGTACAATTGAAGTTTTCTCTGCACTCAGTGGTTTCTCTGCTTAGAAGCTGCTGATCTTCAAAGAAAGGGTGATCTGGCAGTTCTGTTCTGGCAATTCTTGTCTGTTCCAGTGAATAAAACTCCAAACATCTGTTGGAGCTCTGCAGTGTTCATTTACTGTGGAAAAAAATACAGTAATACTGGTTTTCTTTATAACTTGTCCTTTTTAATACAGAATTGAACATCACATTYGGTCATTTTGAGGTGGTTTGAGATYAGGTATAGAGGAAGGTRTTTTCAATAACRTGCAGAAAGTTCCTGAATWGGAARCCTTAGAGATAGAGCTSTGCCATGTATATGATTGACAGCTTTATCCAGCCAAGGGTATCTTAAAATAACGCTTCGATCAGGGGTGCAAATGGTGTCAGGGTTGGGGATGCCMTTTTAATCTGAGTGGCAGCCACTCCTCTAACACTCCTGTCTCTTTTTTGCCCTGCAGATGTCGCTCCTATGAGGATTGCTGTGGTTCAAGATGCTGTGTAAGAGCTCTCTCTATCCAGCGACTATGGTATTTTTGGTAGGTCCAGGGCATTTGGGAATTTTATGTTTGTCCTTGTCTTGTTTGTTGGACTTAAATCAGGGTATTGGCAGCCCTGGTATTTTAGAGTACAGTGGGTGCAAGTGTGCAGTAAGGTCTATGTGTAYATAGAAATGCAAGGACTTTGATTTTTTTCTTGTAAAATTCTCCTGATGTAGTACGAAAACACTGAAAAAAAGAGGTGATTTGTATCAGATTTACCTTTCCTACTTCTGCATCTTGCTGCTTTGTACAAGCAGCGGTTCCACTTTTATCCAAAATTGCTGAATTCTTTATGCCTGTCCCAGCTACCAGGCAGCAGCGTTCACCCATTCTTGTTGGGCACTCCATTTTARAAGTGGATCATATAAGGAGGACTGTGCTTTTAGGTGGGGTTTATTTAATACATTCTTGCCAGCTGAATTGAGGCTTCAGTTAAAAAGAGAAGTACATTTATGACTATGAGGATTGCACTGGAGATGACAGGAAAAGAAAGCACAAAGATTGAGCTGGTGAAACCAGCAGCTCAGTAATCTGGATAAAGCTTAAACTAATCACTGTTATAGGCATAATGAAAAAATAAGGTAAATTCCTTTTGGAGTCGAATTTAAGAAAGCACCTGAATAAAACCTTCTCATTACAGCAGGGAGAAAGTAAATGCTCTCCTGGAAGACCTGATTTYGAGCATTTTAATGTGGAATTTGAAGACTGATTAACAAAAAAGCCTTCAAAATTGAAACAAACAAACAGTGAAAAAMAGAAGCCTGAATATACTATAATACAGAGATTTCCCAAAGCTGACTGTGGGATTTCAGTGTACCATCCTTACTGATATAAGTGAAGAGCTCTCTATCTCAATCCCTGGGGTGACGTCGTAAATCTCTGTTTTTCTGTTCAGAAAAAAATCCTTTGCAGGAACACTGCCAAAGGAGAATGTATTAATCTTGGCTCAGGGAAAAAGAGCCTCCTTCTGCTCTCATTTCTAATGTGGAAACAAGAACAGAGTTTGAGCTTTTGCATGAAATAAYTCTTGCTGCCATGCTGTGCCACACTTCTTCTCAGGCACCCAGGGATTCTCCAGAGATGAGCATGGTGTGTAGGCTTTCCTCTGGCCAACTTCCTTCCTTTCCAAAAAGCGCAGTTGTCATTGTCTTCCAGTAAAAGACCATGAAACAAGATGGCAATTACAGGCAGTAAAGCCATCCATATTTACAAGAGCTTGTGTGAGTCACTGAGTGTCTGATAACTGAATAAGGCAACACAGTGAAAGCTGCTGTCTGAAGAGCAACGTCTGATGTGCCCTTGCTGCACATTCCTGTTTCCACAGCACCAGGGCAAGCGAATGATGAGGACAATTTAATTTGGAAAAGGAGCTAAGAGAAGAAGAACTGTAGCTGAATTATGTCTTTTGTATTGAGAATGTAATGTCCCACCTGGGAAGCACAAAGCAAAGTTTGTCACCATTGGTACTGAATGCTTCAGTCTTCTGGCTTGAGCTTAAGTGCGAGCTACCATATTGCCCATGGGACACAAGATTAAAATGTTGAGTTAATTTAAGAACATCTAAGATTCTTTTAATGACAATTGCAGAATAGTGTTTTCTGTCCCCCACAAACTTCCTGAGCAGCCTAGATGTTGTAAGCCTGGGGCGTGCACCCTAGACGTGCAGTTTGAAACTGTACTGACCCAGAATTTCAGTTCAGCATCCCAGTGGCCAAAGTCAGGTATGAACCTGAACTTTTGGAAAGGTCAAGTGTGTTTTACCTTCGAGTTTGTGTTTTACATGCCAGAAAACATTTACAGTAGTACTAATCACTGAAGACTTCCATAATATATTCATAAGTGCACTATGAGTGCTATCCCAAATGACAGACCTACTTTCAATCTGTAGGTTGATGTATTCTCAGTGAACAGTCTGGATTTAAATACTGCCTGAATGTGCAGAGCTTGACTTCCCTCTTCTTTTTGCCTAGGTTCCTTTTGATGATGGGAGTTTTGTTCTGTTGTGGAGCTGGTTTCTTTATCCGAAGGCGGATGTACCCTCCTCCATTAGTAGAAGAACCTACTTTTAACGTGTCTTACACCAGACAACCAGTCAACACTGCATCAGGTCAGAGACTCATACAAGTTTCACTGGTTTCTTACTTCAGCCAAAACACTTCTGAAGGGTGGGTTATGAACTTTTGTTTCATTGGTTTTTGGAATATATGGGGTTTGTACAAGGGATTGCACTGCACTTAAGCATRCAGCCACCTCCTGCAGTGAGTGATGCCTTCAGCCTTTCCAGCAGCATAATTCAGCTGCAGTTACAGAAGCATTTTTGAAACATGGGATGACATGACTTTCAGTTCTGTTTTGGCTCCTAATACCTTTCCAGCTGTGTAGGTGGCTAGCAAGCTTTCCCTTTGCAGTGTAGACAGAATGATAGGTGTCCAAATTTAAGTCACAAGAAGAAGGAGTTTTAAATACAATTGATAGCATCTGGCAGAGATGAAGGAAAGCCTAGCATTTTCTTTTACAGTCTTGCCATCTTGCAAGTATTTTCTTTTTGATTTGCCTTCAGTGTTCTGTGCTGCAGTCTTTCTGTGGCAAAGCGGTCTTTTCCCCCTTGTTAGTCTGATTGCTGTCTCTCTGGTAAATAATAAATGTGAGTATCAGGAGACCTACCTAGTGAGGTCTCCTCTGGCAAAATTGCTATCTAATTTTGTAATTTTTTTCCCTCTGTTAAATAGTTCCAGTTGGGAACTATCCTGGGTCTRAATGGTTAAAAAGATGTTACAGACATAAACTGTCACTTTATTCACCCTTCTTGTTTAAATCCTAAGTGTTTTTTTTTGGGGGGCCTCCCATTCTGCATCAGTTTTTCTCCTTGACTTAATGCAGAGTATTTTTCAGCTGAAGAGGCAGCCAATCCAACTAGACTAATATTTTTAAGATTGAAAAATAGTCTTGAGTTTATATGAAACAGGGAGTGACTTCGGCTGGATCGRTAAACACCAGATTTAAATTTAGAGCACAGTTTTACTCTTTCATGGTGCTTCATGGAGCTTAAATTGTGGGCAAATATGGAATAAGCACAAGCTCTTTAATGATCTTCTTATGGCACCTGCTTCCACACTGTTACTTAAAACTTTGGGCTCTGAACTAACCCCACAATTTATTTTATTTTTTCATATTTAGTTTTTCTTCTATTCTAGAAATATTCAATGGCAAAACCATTGAGAATTAGTAGTCAAGCAAGTCCCCATTTTCCACTAGTTGCCAGGTTTTGTACCAGTGGCCAATTCTCTGTTGAGGTGGAGCCCTCCAAACGTGGCTCACTGTCTGCCTCCCTCCTTCCTTGCAGAGATAGCAGCAGCACCTGMTGGGAGTGCTTTTCTGGGGGCCTGACTGGGAGAATGGAAAGGGAAAATCCCTTAGAAGCAGTGTGTCATTATAGGAAACACAAACTGGCACCAGAAGAAGAAAACTTGTTGCTCGGTCATTACTTTTTTCCCAGTTCATCTTTATTTAAACAGACAGAGGAAGAGACAAAAACAACCTTACATCTTGAGGTAGTCTKTGACTTCAGTTGCATTAAGTCATCTTCCACCACCCACTGATATCTGAGGAGGGTTGCACACCAGCTTTGTTCTTATGGCAGCAATCGCTGTTATACCTTATGTGTCATAGCCAAGGAATTTTTTGTTTGGCCATACATTTCCTCTCCTTGTCCCTGCAGGCTCTGATGTCACCTCTCTAAGTTCAATCTGTGCAGAGCAATCTTGTCTCATTGTGTCAGCCAGCAATAACTGGCTACAACTKGGCTCTTTGCTTCATGCAGGTTCACCTCCAAGCTGTATCATGCCTAGGAGGCAGATTTCCCATCTGAGCTGCACTGTGGCTTATCAGCAGATCCAGGACACCTCAAACTAATCTGTGAAGTCCTTTTGTAAGATTTGACACCTGAGTCAGGGCCACAATACAGACTCCTTTGTGCATCAGGGATCCCACATCTCTCCTCTGTCTCGAAGACAGAGAAGCTTTTCTGTCAGGGGAACTGAACAGAGCTCGCTGTTTTTCCTTTCAAATGGTAGTGGCTTGGGGCAGTGGTGCCCTTTGTTTCACTACGTGATTTCCATTGGACATAAAATTGAAACTTTTTGATGATAGCTGAASAATTGAATGCAKTCCTGGCAGTCTGGGTGTTTTCTGRGAGGGAGGAAGATACGCCTTGTCTTTGCTCTGATGAACACTTTGAAAAACCTTGTCTGAGTGTRCAGAGCACAGGCCCTGGGAGAGCACAGCCTGATGCTCCTGCTGTTGCTGATACCTTTTCTCTCCTTTTCTTTCTTTCAGGGTCACAACAACCTGGAGTGCCGTATTACACAGATCCAGGCGGACCTGTGATGAATCCCATGGCTATGGCTTTTCACGTCCAGCCCAATTCCCCACAAGGAAACCCAGTTTACCCACCCCCACCTTCCTATTGCAACACACCACCTCCCCCSTATGAGCAGGTGGTGAAATCCTCCACGTGAGGACTCTGGCTCTCTGACCTGACTGTGTGAGAAGAAGGTGCAATTGCAAAATGACCAAGATGGAGGGCACATGCCCTTTTGAACACTTGCTAGTTCTCCAAGTCCTCTCCCCTTCCCCACCTTTCCTTATTGAAGTTACTTTTAAAGGGGTGATTTTAAATTTTTTTTTCTTTTGTTTTTTAGTAGAAGTGGATTTTTTCTTTGTCTTCAAAATGAGAGAAGCTGTCTTTGTAATGCTTTTAATGGAAACCTATAATTAAAACCTTTATGTCTTTCTCTTTATTTATTGTTCATTTCAGTCAAGGTTTTAAATGTATTGTGGCAGGTTACTCACAGTAGCTCTTGTGACCCTAGAGTGATGTGCAGCCTCCTAAGACCTCACAGCAGAAATGCCCTCATCAAAGGGAAATAACAAGAGAAAGAGGATAAAGATAGAAGCAGCAGGGCAATGATTTTACCAGAAATTGTGACTACCATCTTTTTCTTTTACAATTTAGTTATGATATATAACAGAAGGATGGTGTGATAAAGTCACTGTGACTGGAATACCAGCACGGTTGAGTCATGGCAAGGGCTCTGCCAAGTGCCATAGAAAAGAGGGAGTTGTTACTTGAAATGATTCATCCAAAAATTAAGGACTGGGACTTGAGGGTTTCTTGTCCATCACCTGGACTCTGCCATCTTGGCTCCCCTTGTTTTGCCAGCACTGAGATTGTATGAAACAGAAAATTACTTGAGTGTTGGCACAAGACAGAGGTGTTACAGCCTCAGAGCTACTTGCATCTTGACAGAACAGTTAGAAATGCTGAAATACAGAAGTTTTCTTCCCTAAATTGGAAAATATTTAGAAGAAGGGAGTTACTCTTCTGTGATACTGATGGGAGTTTAGTCCCTGAGAAATATCTTTCAATACAGTTTTACTGCTGTCACAAAGAGTACCCAAGTAAAGCTATCATCTTCAGGTGACAGGTCTCTAAATCTGCTTTCCTCTCTAGGTCAGAGAAATGACTTTTTGGGACAGGCTCGTAATAGCATTTTTGGACCTGATGCTTGGCTTTGAGTGTCTGTTTGCTCTTCGTGCATTTTGTTGTGAGTGCATGGCCAACCCTCTGAGTGACCACAAATGAAAACAGAGCCCCTTTGCCCGTCAGGCCTCTCATACCCATCTGTGTCTAGCAAAAATGTGAAGCTGCTCTGAAACATGACTTTGACTGATGGGACTTTCTCCCTTTGTGCATTCAGTTATGTCACCAAACAGTGACAGAAAGATGCCACTGCCTCCTGCTGCTGAAGGACCTGCAGAAACAGCATAGCTGAGGGTTAGGAGTCCAGTGTGTTCTTTTGGGTACCAGATGAAAGCTCCTGTGTCATGCCAGCTGGGGCACAGAGGTCACTGAGGTGCTTTGGGATGATCTGAAGACCTGTGTTGCACAGGAGCCAAAGCTTTATTGCGCTGTTTCTGGTTCCATGCCAGTGGCTGCTGAGATTTTGTTTCTAGGTGTTGAGCTGGATTTGCAGAACATCCCTTTTGCTCTGAGTGTCTAACTCAGAGTATCTAAAAGCAGAACTTGTAGGGGCCTTTGTTTCTTCTGGTGGAGTTAGTACCCATCTGAAGCAGAGCTAGCTCTGGAGGAGTACATTCCTGCGTACCTGTTTTAACAAAGTTTTCCCTTACTGTGAAGTTTTAACAAAGGCTTTCCCTTACTGTGCATCATAATAAGGGACAAAGCAAATTGTGGGCCGTCCAAGCTTGGGGGACACTTCAGATAACAAAAAAGTACATTTTATATATGAATACTAGGTCCGTTTGCACATCACAACTGTATATTTTCTAAATTACTGTGCACTTGAAGTGTAAAAGCTGGCTATGTCATTGAGTATAGTCATGTTTATTTACAGAATGTAATTTTTTAAAAGCAAATCCAACCTTTTTCTGTCAATAGAAATAGAAACAGACCGCCTGTTTAGATGTTGTTAAATTATTTTATATTATGAAATGTATCAATGACAGCTGGCATTGTCCTGGACACATTGAATAGAAGCTTTTGTACATGGAAATTCAACTTCAGGTGAAGTTTTCCTGAAGTCTGGCTGGTTTATTTCCTAGTGTTGATGAAGACACTACCTCTGCTAGCAAACTTGGCTTGGTCTTTTCTTGAAAACTCAACATGCCTGCATGGGCATCCGTATGCATGACTTGAAAATTGTTTACATGACTTCCTAGTTGCCTTGCCAATTCCAACAGGATTTTCTTTGGCAGTGGTGRTGCCCCAGGATGTGCCAGCTGCTGCAGCTTTGCTAACGTGAATTTCACCATGGGGGGTTGTTGCTTTATCAGCGGTGATGCTGTGGGTGCAGCAGCTGTGTCCTCTAATATGAGAGATTTTGAGCCTCACTGATGAGGCAGGGAAGGGATAGTGTGACAACTTCTTACGGTTTGTGGATGTTTTTATTTTTTTTTCCCTTTGGAGTCCCTGTGACAGCTTACACTGCTGTAACAACAAACAGCTGGGACTACATTGTCTAAAAAGGTATTCAGATCATGTGAAGAAGGAGGTATTCTTTATTTCCTACTTTAAAAATACCCAAAACCTTAGAAAGGTTAGCTTTATATGCTTATATCCAAAACGTCCATTTTTGGCAGACAGGTCAACCACGAAACTGTAACACTTTTTCAGATAGTGACGTCTATTTGCTTTGTTTTTTTCTTTTTGTGATCTAACACTGCTAATTGAGTAGGTGAGCCAGGATGCCTTTGTAGGCCCTGTGGCTGTGGGAGCCCTCCCCTCTGATGCCCTGTCACCGGGAGAGGAGCTGCCTTACAGTTTGTACTGTTTGGCAGGGAAATGACTACAGAGGCACCATGCAGGGGAAGATCCAGCATACGACAGCTTTCACAAAGCWACTGCTAGATAATAAAGCAATTAAAGATGAGAGGTGCAACTGGCAGCCACTGTTCCAAGCTGCCTTGTGCTGCATGGGAAAGGGTACAGCAGAGAAAGCAGAGGGAACAGTGACAAGCAGCCCTGCCTTCCTGCATAGATCTGTTATTTTAGCTTTATGCAGTGAGAGAGGTCACAAGGCTAGATGTACCTCTTATCTCTGTTTCTCTCCTGCTGCCTAAACCTATCTTATCTAATAGCTGCAAGCTGGATTTACAGCAGTCCACTTGCAGATGTCAAGGAGACGCAGTGGTTTAAAGTCAGGTCCCTGCGCACAAATTGTGCTGGCCCTGACTGTGAATCAACATGAAACCAATGGAAACCAATGCGAAAAAGGGGAATATTTTCACCAGGAAAGGCTGCTGCATCAAACACCCTGCTGGGCAGGGCTGAGGCAGCATGGTACTGCCTAGCTGTGAGATGACACACAGCACATGTACTTCTTCCCATGTATGTGGCATATGCTATTTAGATGTTATGGAGATCTGTTGTGCTGGAAAATCCCCAACGCAGTTATCTGCCTATACCTGAATTTGTACAGATTATCTACATATCAGAACCAGTGCTCTGAATTTTAATAAAGCAGCTGTTTCTGTTAGTGGCCAAGATGGCCACGAGTGGCACAAGGGGCTTTGTGAAACAGAAATACTGCCCCTTGCTTGCAGCATGCTTGGCACTTCTTTCTGTTGAAGCCTAGCTAGAGGAACATTTTGAACTTCCTCAAAGCTGGAAAACAGCTGTTRGTCAGCTGGACAGAGATTTCATACATGTGTTTTAAAAACCAGCTCATCCTGAGTGAGGCTTTAGCTGCAAACTTCAACGGGATCTGTGTGGCCACAAAGGAATGCAGTGTTTTGCACTAAACAACAGACTAAAAATCTTGGGAGCRGCAGCAGGAAAGGCACCTCCTGCAGTGCTAGTGAAATGTAAAGGTTACAAAAAAGCAATCTGCCCTTTTTCTRGCACGTGTTTCATCCTGCAGGACTMTGAGATGGGGAATCAGCTCAGCAGTCAGATCAGTGGGACAGCTATCACCAGTGCTGGAGGGAAGGAAGAAGAGCCATAGTGAAGAAAAAAACCAGACTCACACGAATTACCACCACATAGCTTGATCTTTACTAATAAAGACAAAGAACAAAACATCAGCATTTTTTTTCCTCTTTTTCTGCTCAAAGAGCATTTCCTTTTTTAACACTACTGCTTTTTGCAACAGATGGACTATTACACACRGACTAAGCAAACCAGGGAATATTAAGACATTTTCTACATTTGTAGTTTGATGTCATTTCTGAGGACAATGCCTTGATGAAATGCACTTTTTCACCTTCACACTGTATCTTTTTCTTAATGGGCCACCTAGGTATCACAACGCTGTGATGAACAGAAAGGAGGTGCCAGGGGGAAAGTCACAGCAGGGAGATGAAGCAGATGCACCGTCAAGACACTCCCCACCTCCATACATTTCCAGTCTTAATTCTGAGAGAATTCTGCACAGATAGATGGTGCCAGGCCCCACCATGGCAGAAGGCTGGCTGTGGTGCAGAAAGAGCGGGTAGCTGACTTGCTGATTTTGACAGGTACACTCTRTCATCTTGGGGATCTGCATTAAGCTGCTCTGAGTGTGATTATACCTATGTAGTTTTACAACTAGCAGGTTTTTTAATTCCCTTTAGGCTCCAGCCAGCCAAAATCACCTCCCACAGGAGCTATTCCAAGCACAGTGGCCAAGCCCTATATAAATATAATCACTGCATGAAAAAACCTGTCAGCTAACCCTAGTTAAGCAGTCTGTCCAACACAGGCTTGGGATTTGCCTGGAAGGCCAGTGGCTTCTGTCTGTTCGCARGTAGTTCCTGTAAACGTGGTGAGCCCTTTCTCTCTTAACACACCTGTGAAACAGGATCAGAGCTGGGATCTACCTCCTTTGTTAGCATTTCTGAGACTTCACCCTGGGCAAGTGCATTATTGGCTTATCTACAGGCAGGACCAGGGATCCGAAGGCTGWAGAGAGAAACAGTTAGCCCTTGGCATTCTTGGCATGGAGGAATCTCATCGAGATGGTCTCTACTGGTACGTTGTACATTGCCTCCGTGATCAGCTCTTCCTGTTCCTCACTGATCCCTCACATTAATTACTTCCTGCATTCCTCACTATCTGCTCCTCTGCTCCTGTTTGCTTCAGCCCAGCTGCCTGCCATGCAGCATTCCTTTCCCAGTGCCTTTCAGCATTTTACCCCATCCCTGGCTGTAGAGATGCAGCTGAAGTTTGTTGCTGCCACCTCACTCTCTGCCCTTTGCCAGAGGGGTGGAAAAGTCTCTCTTGCTGCTCCCATGTTTTAATCCTTCCTGACAAACCAGTATAGGAGCTGCTACACTGTGACTGCTCTGACACTGCTGCTATTGTCCAACAGAACTGAATGGGGAAATTAACAACATCCCAACGGATTTGGCAATACACACTGTAACACACTCAGGGAAGTCACCTTCAATGGGAGAAATCAAGGATTTATGCAGGAACAACAATGCATCTCTAAGCCTGACCACAGACACTGGCGCTCAGCAGATAGGTCAGGCCTATAGATCAGATAGCTCAATGAATGGCCAAAAGGTCAAACTTTGCCATCTGTAACAGAAGATAGCTGACAGAAGATACCAATTAAAATCAGCACCTGCAATGGCAAAGGTCAGGGAGACCTGGGGCAAGATGACCAGAGAGCCTGAGTGACTGAGAGTGTGCTACACTTTGGTACTACCTGGACACACTAACTTGCTCAGTGTACTTGGAGTACATCCCACTTCTCCCAAACCAGTGGCCTGATATGCAGGAGCACCTCAAGGCAGGTCTAGTATTTCATAACCCCACTACATTACAGGGGGAAGCATGATACTAGCAGCAGTTAAAATGATGAGAAAAGGGCTTTCTCTGTGTGTATTTTAAGACAAAATATACTTCAATCACAGCTGCTAGCAATGCCTTCATATTGCTCAATAATCCTCCGCAGCCTCCATGAGCAGCTGGTATTTATCACTCCTGTACTACTCCATGGGAGGGGAGGGTCCAGAACAAATAACCACCTTGGTTCCAAAGTAACAACCATCCTGARCTACATGCATGAGAAGCTTGCCCTGGTGCCCTCCCTTGCTCATCCATATATGAGATGCTGCAGGACAGGTTTATTCCAAATCCAGGTCCAGGAAAAGAGAAGCAGTTATRCTGTCCAGGCTCTGCTGTTGGTGGCTTACGGAGGTTAGTCCGAGTGTCTCCACCTGCAGTTTAAGCCCATGGCATARGATGAGGGCTTTACAGTGGTGGGAGAAGCATTTCCACCCTGTCATAAGCACCTAACACTATCCTCCTGTATCAAAGAGAGCCTCTCTTTCAGACTTTCAAAGAAGCCTCCCACAACAGCAGCAAAAGACAAGTCAGCTCCTTTCAAACTTGCTAGGTTTCTGAAAACAGAGATGGCCTCATACCTCTTAATCAAAACAGGCTGATCTTCACCATCTTAGTTTGCAAGGAATATGGAGAAAAAGTGTGGGGGAAAGGAACATAGAAACATTTTTCATCTCTTTTAAGAGCGGCCAGCTCACCAGTGAAGCTGGGCACCRTCCTGCAATGAACTCTCTGTGCAGGTAAGCAGGCTGCAGAAAGCAACACTGCTCTTGTGAGTCATGCACGAAGGTACAGGACAGAGGTTCACAGAGACCAGCTTTTTGCTAACGACAAAAGACTCGGATCAACACACAACACCAATAAACGTGCAGAGCATGGCAAAGACCTGAAGAAGACAAATACAACAGAAAAGAGTAAGTTCATAACTTGACTTCTCTGGTCCTCCATCTGAAGGTGTCAATTTAACAGAACTTAAATGTGGCTTCTCCTGTTCATGCTCTAATGACTTCATGGTCCTTTGGGACAGGAGAGGTGAGAAAAGGGCTTTATCCATCTGTCGGTTCAGCATCGAGTTGGTTCATTATCAGAGGCACTAAACAGTCTCATCTCTTTTGGTTTCAGTTTCCTTTCAAAATGATGGTTTTAGCCGTCCTGTTCCACTTTGTTTTCCCTCTTTTGAGGTCTAAGTTCAAATGCTGGAAACTGGGAAGTCTCCGGTACCGAAATATCTGACAGGAAGTGAATAGCTCCAGCCATGCCTAAAACATAACGAGAAAGAGATCTTTGTGCATCTTTGACGTTAAAATATCACAGGTGACAGCAAAAGCAACAGCATTGGTTTGAACACCTCCTTCACTAGATATTGTTTTTCAAAGAGGTTAACTTAGGCCCCATGGAAAAGCAAGCTTATCTGTACTTCACCCAGAAAACGAAGTTTTATTTGAAAAGATCAAAGGCAAGAACCAAGATGTCTCTGCTATCATCTCTTCAACTGAACAACTTCAATGCCATTTCAAATTAAGAAGAGGTTAATCCAAGTTTGGACTGTCCTTCATAATTTGAGCAGCTCTTGTTCATCATTTCACTGGTTAAAAGTAAAAGCCAAAACTTTACTGTATTAGTGAAGAACAGATTCRTTTCGTCACTGTTCATGAAGAGGTYATCAGAGCCCAAAGTGCATCACCCAACAGAAATCATARATTGACAGACAGGAGAGGCACAGCAGGAAAGCATACAAGTTCTGTTTTATGATCAAGCTAAAATTCTATTTTATAAACAGCTATGCACATATAAAGGAACCTTTCTGAATTACAGCATCTGATGGAAACAAAACAACTAGGACAAYCCCATAAGATGCAATGCAATTCCTATTCAAAGCGTGTACATATAGGCAGAATGGAAGAATTACAAGCACAATTTTGGCTGCAAAAACAAAGCCCAAAATGAAGACTTTAAAAAATCTCAAATATAAAACTGGAGATTTTTCTAGAAAAAAATTCCAGACAATTAAAAGCAAAAATAAAGACTGTATGTCAGCATTAAAGCACAATGCATCCTGCTGTTGTCACTATTTCACCTTCTCTACAAATTTCAAAGCTTTTATATAACAGGTTGTACGCCTGCTTTTTTCCCTCCCTACAAGGGCATACAAGGRTGGTCTCAGAAATAAGAATACTTATGTTTTTCTCCCTTGAGCTTTAAGACAATAACTCTGTAATTAGAARGGCTGGATACAACTCCTGCTCTCTTATGTTCATTCATGCCCTGGATTATTTGCAAATCCCCCTGCTGGTCTGCTGTAATTTCAAATATGTGCGGCAGGTGGCGCACGAGGCTCGTTGTTCATGGAACCGCCGCGGCGCTACCTTAAATCCCACTTGGATCTGTAATTCCTTGCTACTGATTCTGTAACGTACGGATGATACTTAGTATACACAAATAAAAAAGAGTAGTATACACAAATGAAAAAGTAAAAAGGTCTAGCAAAGTATCTGGTAACATCTTGGAACTTACAGGTAAGCCCTTAAGAACTCTGCATTGCTTTCCTGTTCAATTGATTTGCRTTCCTATTAAAACTACCTTTTCCTTGGTTGAGTATGGCAGAGAAGGTCTAGTTCTGACAACTACCAACCAGTTTGAGACCCCTCTACCCACAGCTGCTCCTCTGCCCAGTCCCTCTGAAAAGCCACCAGGGACAAAACTGTTGTCTGGACTTGCTGTAAACCAAGTAGCATCAGCAGAACAGAATTTCATTCCAGACTAACACTGGCACTGGTTTTCATTCAAACTGCTGAAATGTAACCAGGAGTGAAAGTTTTGATAGTAAATGATTTTTCTTTGTCCCTTTCTAGCCCCTGCCACCCTGCCTTCTTTTAGGCAAAGGCAATGTTATAGGGTGGGCTTAATAGTGGAGGAACCTACCAAAGAYGTTCCAATATCTACACATGTGCCAAAATTGCAAAGATGCCCCTCTCTCCTGTTGCACAAAACCATTTGCAACACCATCACTTTACCTTCAAAGAGGGAATAAGGTCTGTCAGGAATACGACATCCATGAGCACCATACTCCAAACACCATTCAGCAAACTGGGGAACACATTAAAAAATATATTTTTTAGTCAAGACTGTTAAATGCAAACTTGAGTATCTGAATATTATTAATAGGTAAAAAATGTAAAGGAGGGTAAGCRGACACACAAGACATAAATCACTGAGATTAATTTGTCCTCCTTCAACCACGACAAGGCTGCAATCAGGTTTTACAGTATGTATTTGCACAGCAAATTTCAGTTTCGTAACAATGCAATTAAGCATTGCATGCAAAAAGCTCTGCTTTTTGTAAATCAACCTTGCTACATGCCAATGAAAAACACTGTAAGAAGAGATATACTCAGTCAAATTTTTACTACCATTGTATCAGTTTCTTATGTTTGTGCTTAATTTATCCACATATTCAGGACTTAGGGCTATTAACTGCATCTTGGCTTGCTTTCATTTCCGTGCACCCATTGAAAGTATTAAATCTTCAGTTGCCATAAATCAGTTTTGTTTATTTTGGTCTCCCTGAGCCTTATGAAAAATCATTATAAATACAATTAGACAATTAAGGTCATCAATATTATGCTGCAGAAGATGGATTACCATTAARAAGAATTAAAAGTTTCTTTCTCAGTAGCTACATCAGATACACGTGACTTATGAACCACACCTGGATGAATTYAGTAACAATCAGCTACTTCTCCTTTATGGCTCACCAGAGCATAAGGAGGGCACAAGTTGCACCGGCATTTCTGTGCTTGGATGCAAACCACTGCTTGTTCAAAATACAGTGCATAGACTCCTGCAAAGCAAACAACTGAGAGGTTTCTCCCTGCTTCCCCTGCAATATGGGCAACCTGCTAGCAAACAGATCAGCCRAACTAGAGGGTGTCCCAGCCCTAAAGTTGAAGCTCTGTGGTGTGTAAGTATGATCCCAGAGCCATCCATCTGTTCAGCAGGAGGAAATGGGTCGCATGTCTCTTCCTCCTCGTCCCACTCCGTTCTCTTTAAATATTTAACAGGGAATGAACTTTTCTTCTCTTGATAGAGGTGTGTGTATATGTGTGAATGTCTTCAAGAAAGAAAAGGAAAAAGCACAAACACTATGATTCACCGTTACTGAGAACTGATTGTACATTTTTGGGCCCTCTCTGGGTATAAATCTTCAAACTAAGGTTTAATTCTCCCATGCAATCCTGTCCTAAATGTGAGGACTGAACATGTTTATGGCATGTTTCTAAGCTACARTCAATTCTTGCAACACATCTGATTGTATACTAGCTTTTATTATTACTCCCAGTCTTGGAAATGCAACAGAAATTTGAGAATGCACCCTAGGCTAATGAAGCACAACCGTTGTTCGCAAATTCATGGCTTTAGCATAACCAAGATCCAGTAAGCCACAGTATCACTCTTGCCTGGAGGCTGGGATGCCACAACCCCTCTCTCCTCTTACAGACAGGCCAGCTAGGAGTGCCTCAGCCTCCTGGGAGCCTGAGAGAAAAGCTGTAAAGATCAAAGAGTGAAGCACAAAACAGGGGTCTTCTCTATTCAAGTTCTTGTGGTTCATTTGTGAAACAGTTTCATGGCTTCAGTGGGGTAACCGGGGACTCTGGGCAAGACTCCTTCCCCTGGGCCTGGTGTTTTTGGTGTGAAGAAGTACCCTGGGAGGGGAGCAATCTCATTCTCTCAGTTACATGCCTCTAGGTACCGACATAACTGCATGTTCTGCATGTTTGCTTCCCTTCGTGCTCTGGCTCAGAAAGAAAAGATTTTAAGAATGCCAGACAAGCAAATTCCTCTGCCTGTTTCAAAATTTCCCCTGTAAGGGAATGTTGAAGATTCTAAATGGCAGAGTGGCTGAAAATATGCAGCCTATGCTGGCACTGCACCACAACTGCCTTCTTAATGGGCTTTCACGTACATAACTCAGTGTCTTCATTTTTCTACCTTTGAGATAGATACATTTGTTTTATCTTGGTGTGGACAAACATCAGAGCTCCCTTGGGCCAGAAATGCAGCACCAACAGGAGCTGCTAATGCTGCACAGAGCTGCAGAAGGTGTGCTAACATGGAGGATGGCAGGGAGAGTTGACAGCCATGCTGCCAACAATGCCTGCAGGGTGTCATTAGCAATGGGTGACTCCACGTGCAACTAAGTCACACATTTGCTGTGGGAGTACTAGGGTTTTATTTCAATCCCTAGGATGCAGGTGTGTCTACAGGTGTCCTCATAGCATGATGCTTTGGTAAATGTGAGACAAGCAAGAGCTTTTTAAAGCTCTGATAGARGCTGACTACAGAGATGAATACAGTAATTTTACATATGGCCAATATTCACTAAAACACCTAAGAAACAACTCATCAAATTTCATTTGCAATACTTTTCAAAAGGCCTCAGCTTAACAGCTGTGTACACAATATGAAACCTCATGTCAGTAAATTAAACTGAAAAAAAAATCCAACAAGCCAAACCAAAGTCTTACAAGGAAATTACAAGGCAGAGAAAGCCTTCTCCTTTGGTAACTGCTAGCACAGTCAACAGCTGATGGCAGAACCTGGRCAATTCCAGTGGAAAAATTCTGTGTGTCTTTCTCTGTAGTTTGTATTAATAAAAAAACTCTAAATGAGCAATTGAATAAATGCAATTCAGAGCTCTAAAAGCCCCAAACAGGCACTAGTCTGAAAACAAATAATTACAAAAGACTACAAACAGTATTGCTTGAGTAGCTGAGAACGACAGTGGATATCTCAATGGAATAATTAGTAACCACATAACAACAGTCTGTTATCATTCAGGCAGGCAAATTTTCAGGCTCTATTATCTTCTGAATACATTTAGTCCCCCCCCTCTTACAGAACATGTGTGTTTCACTCTGCTTATTAAGACAGTGTTGCCAAACATGCACAACTGAAGTCATCCAGTCAAAGTGTGAGCAAGTGATGGCCCCATTATCCCATCCAGCAGCACAGCCAGCCCCAGTGCACATCAACCCACTCCCACAGTTTACCCTCACACAGGCATTGGGATGTGAAAGGGAACAGGAATTTTGCTGGGATGCTGCAGAGCTCACCTTGCAAGCTCGGTAGAGATACTTTCTGTCCTGAGTTAGGTTATAGAGAGACAAGAAGGAGTAGCCATTGCCAGCAGTGCCATGGCAGATCCCATACCCTTTTCTTAATAAACCCCTCTGCCAGATGACATCACTGCAATCCATAGCATCTTTCAAGTATTTATCCTCTTTAAAAGTCTGTAGAATAAAAACAGAGAATAAACAGACATCAATTAAAGTACTAATGAAAACAAAAGGAAACTGCACCTGAGAGATATTTTGCTGTTTGTGTCGGGCTTTTCCATATAAAATTTATTCTGAATTTTAATAATCCATTCCTCATAGACTTGCCTTTCTTTTCTTACTAAGTTGTTTCTCCTTTCCCTGCATGGTAGAAGAAAAAACTTTGCAGGTTTTTGTTTCTGAAATCAGGACTCCAAAGAAAAAACCCAAGTTCAAGGCCTCTGGTTCTACAACCTGTAATCTTTTTGAAGGTTATGAGGTACTTTTTTCCTCATCTTCTATTCCTAAAACAGAATTTGAAAATACAGAAATGTGATGCTGCCTCCAAGGAATGTAAAACAGAATACTGGATATCAAATCTGGYCTTAGATTGCTAGGTCCTGGTCTTCCTGACTGATTCTTGCTGGTTACTCACTGTTTGCAATCAATTCCATGTCAAAAATGCACAAGAATATGTCTTTGCAAAGCACAGGGCTCTTTTCTCTGTCACATGTACAAGCAAGAACCCTACATTGCCTTGATGAGTACTTGTATTTAGTGTATTAGTGTAGTATATATTCAGAAGCAGTAGCCAGTTTGAGCAAAGGAACAATTTTGCAAAGTTTATTGCAACTGAAGTGCACTTTAGACACAGAGAGCACGTTCAGAAAGCAGCAAACAAAAGAACGTAATTCAGCTGATTACCACAAGAATTCCACCTTTATAAAGCCACTTTTTTGCTCACCTTTCCCTAAGTCACTTTACAGATCAATAAAAGAACAAATACTCAAACCAAGAGCAACAACCCCACCCATCAAAAAAAACAAACCTGAGGCACCACTGTAGACTTAAGTCTTTTGGAGATGGCATTCCCTGTCAAACTATTTAATAAGGTAATAGAAGTAATTAGCATGAAAAATAAATCAGCAACAAACTTGATAAAGGAAGTGGCTCTCTCTGAACAGGGTTTGCCAGCTACTTAGCCATAACATTTTGAATTAAGGCCTAGAAAGAGCACTTGMTTTCCAGGACAAACATTGCTGTCTATTATCACAAGTCCCTGTGTCTGGTATGAAAGCACAGTCACAAAAACACACTCCAATTATTTTTCTTTCAGTGCTTCAAAAAGCAGAATATAAAGAGTAATAGGAAAACATCATATGTTTCATCATCTTAAACATAAAAAGATGCCAAAAAGGAGACTGCTAATCAGAATTTGGTCCTGTCCCCCTTAACTCCTGCAAAACATTTTGTGCTGGGGGAAGCATCACACTGATAAAGGAGGGAGTGGAGAAGTGTTAAGTCAATCACAGATCAAAGCAAAAACAACTGTGACTGCTGCTACACGCAGCAATGCCATAAGAAATTTACAGTTCACATTTCAGGTAGCAGCATGAGTAATTTTTCCATAAACCAAGCCTTATTTTCCTCAGACCACCCAGAGGCCAACCAGAGAATCTGTCAAGGAGGGCTGTCAAAAACAAGAATCAATTTGCATAAATTTAATTAAATGGCATACTTTCAAATGTCATGCAAATCAGAAGCACACAAGAAGACAGGTAGCAAACCTAGTTAAGAATGGAGAAGAGCAAACAGCAGGCTTGTGGTAGCTCAGCAGTTATATTTATGCCCTAGAAAGGGCCTAGGATCTTGGCTCTGACATTAAGTTCTCAAGAGGTATATCTTAATAAAGGARTAGTTAATGGAATATTAAATTATTGTTTATAAGTCTAGATCTAGAAAGATACTGAATTAAAGCCTTGCAATCTAATAGGCCTGCATACAGGGCTCTCTGTAAAGATAGAGGTATATATACATACATATGTATGTGTGTGTGTGTGTGTGTGTGTGTATTAGAGCATGGTGCTAACTACACCAAGGTTGTGAGTTTGATCCCTGTATGGGCCACTCAGTTAAGGGCTGGACTTGATGATCCTTGTGGGTCCCTTCCAACTCAAAATATTCTGTGAATCTGTGAAATCTATCAACACAGAATGATTCACCTTATAAGCCTGCATGAGCATGTGGATGACTCCGGGGGCACCATGGCACCAGTGAACCAGCCTGTCAGTCTCGTTGCTCAGCGATGATGGGTAATTCCCAGATCGGAATTTTTTATGACGCACGTAGTCAATGCTTGGCTTCACTAGCTCTGCCAGGGTCTCCTGGTCCACATTTGCAATTGGCTGAAGAAAACATTAAAAAAAAATAAAAATCACTAAACACATCAACAGAAGTAGTAACAAACTGTGTATCAACACTTAATTCTACAATCTATTTTAAAGAATCCTATGTATGTGCCCTTGATCCAAATACTGTGGATCATATCCTACAGATTTAATTAATGTCAGCTGATTACACCCTTGTGAAGAGCATTTTTACAGTTATTGCAGAGACAAAGAAATTAGGGCACCAAATTGCTACCTGTCTTAAAGGAGGTGACACAGAAAGACTATGGAAGAACTGAGAACAGGATATGAAGAYTCCCAGACCTCTCTTTGTAACTTAAAATAGGGAGAACACTTACAGAAAAAAGACAGTTTTGAACTTATGGTGCTCATAATGCACACTTCCAACATATCAGGTTACACATTTCATTTTAAAAATAACTATTTCCCAACAAATGAAGGAAAGTGCATATAGCAGCATACCTGGCAGAGGTTTATGAAGGTCAAAGTTTTCCATAATAAACAAAGCTCCTTGAARCTATGAGTTATAAATCTGCATTTCCAATTTCAGAAGCAATAGCTAAAATCACCATATATCAAAATATCTTTGTACTACAAACTCATACTTCAATTGCTCTCAGGAATTTTCTTTCTAGTTTTCTTATTTTATTTACCACCTTGCCAAATGGAGAATACATCCAYCAACCTACACGCTCCTTGTAACTAAAGATTTAGAAGCCAAGTAACTGTTGGGTCTGCAGGTGCTCTTTGTTGTCATTCCCTCCACCACCAGCCTATTTCACAGCATTTTAACAGCAGGGCTCTCTATTTTTACACAATTTCTGCAAGTTGTGGGAACAACCACAGGCATCAGAGCCTATAGCAGCCTAATAACTGAGCTCATTTTTTRAAGTAAATTGTTTTTATTGCTGACACAATGTTATACAATTTCACTGTTTCCCACCAGTTCCAGCGTATTTGCATTCAACAGGTGAGCGCTCTCCTACACTTCAAAGTCTGGCAGCCAAATGAAGGAAGAGTTTCAACAGCTATATTTTGAGTAACCTGAAGAAATGAGAAACTTCTTTTTCACCTCAAGACAGGAAACCTTTCCCAGACTTCTATCTGTCAGGTCCCTCAAGCAGACTCCAGCTCTGCACTTTTCTGAGTGGAACAGAAACCTTCATGCTGCTCACCAGAAATACACCTGAACACAGAGCAGCTTGTCACGAAAAACACCCAGAAGCTGATGAGCCCTCACTGAGACTCACTCAGAGTCCTCCCTGTGAGGTAGGGAGGCTTTGTAGGAAGGTTTATTTTGGGGTTTTTGATTTCACACTGCACTCCTGCAGAAGGCAGCCAAGAGCATGGGCACAGAAATAAATGCCTCCAGTCTTGAGCTGTGCAAGACAAGTCCAGCCCAAGCTCAGCCCAGCCATCCTTAGGAGGTATATTCAAGAAGAGCAGAGCTCTTTACAAACCTCCTTACCTTATGCTTCCAAGAATATTTGAGTACAAGTGAGTGTTTTTCCCAAGATGCTGAGGGTCCCAGCACTTACTTCAAACAGTAAAAAGTAACCTAAGACAGGTATGTGTCCTGACTCTCTGGCCAAGAGCAATGATATGCAGACTCTTTTGCTTCAAAGTTAGTGGAAGAATCTTGGAGTAGATACTCCCTAACTAGCACTTCAGAATTCCCCCTCTACCTCCTGAATGAGTTTTTAAACTTGGCTAAACTCTTAATTCTTCCAGTAGCCTGTAAATAACTCCAGCAACACATGTATCCTCCAGTTTAACAAGTGTTTGGACAATGCTCTGGGCACCTGGTGTGATTCTYGGGGTGTTTATGCAGGGCCAGAAGCTGGACTCGATGATCCTGATRTGCCCTTCCAACTCAGCATATTCTGTGATTCTATGATAAAGGTGCTGTACAGAAATTACCCTGAGTAATTTCTGTACTTTCAGATCTCAGGTGTGATGTTGAACACCTTTTTTTTTGTTATCAAATAACCACTAAACAAACTGTCTCTTGAATTCTTTGATGAAAACACAGCAAAATTCACCCCATTTGGCATGGGATGGGGAAAGGATGGGCCTCTGATATGCCATCTTCTTCTGCAGTGGATGACTCAACTTTGCATGACTCACAATATTTAACATACAGTGAAAAGATGGTAATCTAATGCTGCATAAACAATGGCTTTCTGGTAATTCTTAAAAGCAGCAATTACATATAAAGGAAAAATAGCTAGGATTTTAACATGTGGACAGAGTAGCTTCTGCTCAAACCAAAAAGCACTGTGCAATTATTTCTGCTATCAGCCTTGAATAGTAAATGAAATCCTTTTTAGCATTTAAAGAGCCCTCTTTAGAGGACTAGACGTTTCTCTGAAAATCTAGCACTGTCAGGGAAAGGAAAATAGAAGCCAGAAAGATGAGGCAACTAGAAGGGGATGAACAATCTCGTTGAAGAAAGCAGTAGGTAAAGATGAGAGCATGGTAAATCAGAGCAACCTGAGGCTCCAGTGGGATGGTCACGGCAGAAAATAGTTGTAGTGAGGTAAAGACATGTCCCTGGGTAGCAGAGGAATAGCTACTTCCATAGCAAAGACAACCAATTTGACCAGAACTACTGGTGGAAGTAGTGTAAGGTAATCTGAAACACAGCATCTGTTCCACGCAAGGAATGGCTGAGCAGTGGCAGCACCAAATACCCACTCAGTCACTTCTGCAGTGAACATTTGTACACAGCTTCAGGCTGTGAGGATGTACAGTCCTTCCATCTGCCTGAAGAAAACTCACTCTCCATGAGCTGGTAAGGAAATGGAAATTAGGGATGCATGGACTGGCAGCAGCACCTTCAAAACACAGAAACAGGTATGACRAAGTTTTGCAGCTCTATGGCCATCTTCTATAATGAATCTCAAGGCTCTTTTCCCAGATTTTAGAACAGAAATAAGACATACGGGTCAGTTTAGGAAAACATCATAATCCTATTGCAAATCTTGGGACAGGGGGGAATTGATTTAAATGTGGGGAAGAGGAGGTTTAGAGAAGAAAGGAATCTCACTAAGGAAAACAGAAAGAGGAAAGCAGCAGTCATAATYGGGGASATAGGAAAGMAGAAAAATAATAAAAGCATACTGAAGACTAATATGTGATYAAGGACAGTCTTCCAAAAGCATCAAGATCGTGGGAAAAGAAAATCACTAGMGAAGAGACAAAAGGCATGGAGGATAGCAGGCCCCAGCGCTGCACTCATTTAAAAATAGCAAAAAATTGAAGAGTGATGGATAGTGTGAAAGAGAATTTTTAGCTGCTCTAACTGCAGGCACCAGAAGAACTAAGTATGAAGATGAGGGAAAGCACTTCACTGTCTTTGCTGAGGACAAAYCAGATCCTGAAAAGTGGGGGCTCTGAACCACAACTCAAGAGTTAATTCATTCTCAYGTGAGGATACCCTTACTCACAGTTTTCTTCTGCTATCAAAGCTTTTGGTAGTACCTCTGCACAGTTCTGTGCTGCAGTTTAACTCCAAACTGTGAGACCCTGATCCAACACAACACTGCACATGTACAAAGATAATATCCTCTGATGCAAATCAAAAAAAATCACTGCTATTTCACCCCAGCCAAGAGAAGATGCTCTTACCTGCATGAGCATGTAATAGATCCCAGCTACTCCATGGGCTGCTCCAACATACTGCTTTCTGTGCCACTGGTACAACAGAGGACAACGGTCTGTTTTCCGCTCCTCCTTTGAAAAGTTTTTCCCCGACTCAATAATAGCATCTATTACCTAAGAAAAAGAACACACCCAGATCACCTGTCTTGCTCACTTTGATTTAGAGGGTTTTGCTTTGGCATGATGAAAACCACAATAAACAAAAAGCCACAATACAGTGATAGGACAATAGTCAATTTACTTGGATTTGAGTGTTGAGGTAGAAATGGTATTTTCCTTAATGATGAAATCACTTATATTTTTAAGAGCAAATTTAATGTATCAATTTTAATTACTTTTTTCCAGTCCTGCCTTCTCTGGTTCTGGTATGTGCAAAACARTAATTCATGCTCCCCTCACTGAATTCTTTCTTTTCACCTAAACACTTCCACACTTCTGCATTCAGTATTTTTATAACAAGGTCTTATCCTCGAGTGCTCCAAAACTAGATACCTATTAGATGTATTTCCTCAGCAGATCCACCCACACTGGCCCGTCTCAGTCCCAGCTGGGCAGCAGGGAAAGGGGAAAGAGACTGGACAGACAGATGAGATTGGGTTCCCAGCTCTTAGGTCCCTCTTCTCTCCAGCATCCCTCTCTTAATTGCTTGAATGATGCATAAGAGTGATCCCAATTCAATCTCACTGAAGCTGTAATGCTGGAGAGAGAAGTGTCTTACCTCTTTGACAACAGACTGTGGGACAGTGTCTGGACCAATTTCAGTATTTAGGTACAGCAAGGCATACAAGTAACCTGCTCTGCCATAGAGCAGCTCATCTGGAAGTTCACCATCTGTGCTTATCACTGTCCTTTGAAGTTGCAACAACCTGCATCACACAAGAAAGATGGGGAGAGTAGAGACCACACTGGACTGTRTATTGTATAAGTCATCAATCAAACCAGAAGCAGAACAAATAGCAAAGCCCCACCACTTCCCTTCAATTCCCCCCCAGTCCAGTTGGCTGCCAGGTTAATACACAGCTCTGCATGCCTGCCATCCCTGAGATGGAGAACTCAGGGCCAGGTCAGTATCAGTGCAACTGTCAGGATTTTGCGTAGACAGAAACAGATGTGTACAGGGTAGGGTTTGGAGAAGCCTGGAGAGCTACTCCACCCAAGAGAGAAACCTGCTAGACCCTCTGTGAATTTCACCAACGTGAGGAACATTTAATTGTACATGTTTAAGAAAGAAAAAACCAAACACACAGAAAACTCCAAATACCACCATTCATCATTCCCTCTCCCAAGAAAACACATTGTCTCAAATATTTAGCACCTCAGTTTTGAAAAGGACATTGCTATAATGCACAAATGTTTTGCTTGCCCTTGGCAATGAAAAATCAAAAAAAAATCCTTGGGCTGGCCATCATTACTCTCATTTTCTCCAGAAAGATTCTCTGCTAATATTCTACCAGTCTGTATTAACATTGAGGTGGACCAGAGATCTGTTTTCCTGTTACTCCCTCCCTGTCTCTTCCTACCTTTTTTGATTAAATTGATAATTAGACAAAACCACGATGATGATCACATTTTAAATTGGGTGAGGGGCAATGACAATCTGGATTAAGACCAAATTCAATTCCCAGATCCCTCCAGCTGTTATTCCTTGGAAGAAATGTTAGCATTAATGTCATGCCATAGCAAAACCACTGACCTCAATCGTGTGTTTATGCTGTCCCTGCTTAATACCAGGGAAAAGSTACTCACAAAAGAGTTTTTAATTTCCTTTCTCAGAACTACGCTTTGGGTTTAGAATTAAAATTATTTTCTTCTAAACTCTGTATCAGYAAAGGCACAATCAATACTCTAATGAAGCTACATCTAAATGGGATTTCTTGAGACATTTGCTACATTTAGATTACTTTGAAAAGGGGATGGCATTTTTTCAAGCTACTCTTCATATGCTCTGACCTAATTAAATCCCTTGCCTTTAAAACTTTGCTCTTGCAAATACATCCTCTTCATTTTATTAAATTTCTGTTAGGTATCAATCYGATGCACCGTGCTTCTGTCTGACTGTTTTCAGATCCTGCAGTGCACATGTTTTGTAATGAATCTACAGTTAAGACCCACTCTTGAAAGGAAGCATCACATACTGCACAAGCATTACATATTGCTGATGACAAGTGTGTGGCTTTTGTTAAATGTCACTTCAATGTGACAAAATCAGAACATGCATGCACTACAGATATACCCAGGACATCCTGTTCTAACAGCGACAGAGGACTCAAGATAACGCACTAMATACGAATCAAGCGTAAGCCAGCTTTAGTAAAGATAAAGCCTATTTTGTATTCTTCTACTGAAAACTTATCAGGGGAGAAAGTGTCTCCGTTCTTTAATCCTGTCCTCTAAAACTCCATTTGCAAAAGTTACTGAACCAACACTCTCTGCAAATGAAGACCGTGACTTTTTCCACCATCAACCACTTACTTGGCAACACATTCTTTAGATTCACTGTTGTTTTTCAGTTTGTGGTAAACCACTGCACCTACTGCCAATGGCCCAGCATCACCACAGAGGAAAGTCACTCTTCTGCCATTCAGATTGCGAAGGATTCTCTTCACATAATCAAGAGATCGCTGCAAATGACTCTGGTTTTTTGTGACGCGGTACAGCTGCAGATATAAGAGGGCAATACCTGAAACAAACACATGAAAAATAAATAAGTTTCACTTACTTTTCCTTTTAAGTATATCTTGTYGCCCTCTTTGGTGTCTCTGAACCAGTAACACAAATGTGAACAGGTATTTGGGCAATAAAAAGACATTAGTCAGGACCCCCTTGGGTCCTAGCCTATGCAATGTGAAGGCATAGGGCCATCTATTTGGATTACATTTCAACTGGATTGTGGCAAAGATAAAAATTATCAGACTGAAGCCCAATGTTAGAGTCTCAATTGCCAGAAAAAGAGGAAAATTCATGCCACAAGCCTCAACACTCGATGAAGTGTATTGGGTTTGCACAGCCAAGCTTTGGTAGCCAGGGGCTACAGGGGTGGCTTCTGCGAGCAGAAGCCAATCCCTGGTGGCTCCAAAGGCTGAAGGGCCACTGGTCAAGGCTGGRCCAATTACAAATGGTGGTAGCACCTACATGAAAATATATTTAGGAAGACGAGAAAATGAAAGTTATTGTGCAGCTATAATTGCRGCCAGAAAAGATCAGGGTGAGAACACCTGAGAGGAACAATTCAGCAGACACCRAAGTCAGTGGAGAATGAGTGGGAGGAGGTGTTCCAGGCACTGGAGCTGAGATTCCCCTGCAGTCCATGGTGCAGCTGTGACTCTGCAGCCCACAGAGTGACTACAGGATGCAAAGATCCCATGGAGAAGACTCATGGAGCATGCCAGAGCAGGTGGATGTGTAAGAGGAGGCTGTGACCCTATGGAAGGAAGCTGTAGCCCCCGTGGAGAGAGGAGCCCACACTAGAGAAGCCTGTCCTTGAAAGATTGCACCCCATGGAACAGTAACCCATGCTGTAGCAATTTGAGGGGTACTGTTGCCCATGGAATGGATTCACATTGGAGAAGTTCATGAAGAAGTGTCTCCCATGCGAGGGACCCCACAGTGCAACTGGGGAATGACTCCTCTCCCTGAACGGCATGTAATAAACTGACCATAACCCCCATTCCCCATCTCTTTGCACTGTTGGGGGAGGAGGCAGAGCTGGGAAGGAGGGAGAGGTGGGGGGAAGGTGTTTTGAAGGTCTTATTTTACTTCTCATTATCCTGCTCTGATTTTTTTAGCAATAAATTCAATTAATATCTCTAATTAGAACCTATTTTGCCCATGGCAGTATTTGGTGAGTGATCTCTCTTGGTCCTTATCTCAACCCATGAGCCCTTTGTTCTACTTTTCCCTTTCCAGCTGCAAGGGGAGTGAGAGAGGCTTTGGTGGGTGCCCTGCATTCAGCCAGTGTCAACTCACTACACAAATAAATCAGTGAAGATTCAAAAATTTGAGCTAACAAGCATGTATATGATTGAGTACTCTAATTCSTCAATACCAATCTCTTACATTTAAGAAGTGACTTACTTCCCATTTGATCTATAAAAGGATCTTTCAATGAGCTTTTTTTTTAATTTATTAAGTTCTTCATAACCCCTAAAAGTATTTCACAAGATTACAAGCTTGTACAAGTCAAGCTGGTTTGTTAAAGCCAGAAGTCAAGGACTCAGAGAATGCCAGGAGGTACTATCAAGCTTCACTCCATTAAAGTCGTTATATAGTTTTCCATTAAAACAAAACAAAACCTTACAAATAGCAATGTAGACTGAAGGAGGTGAAACAAATCCATCTAAGTGGATGTCKGTTGGCCAACTGCAAGCATACATGTGCAGAAGTAAATCACTTATCTCCARACCATACTGTAACTCAAATCCATTTCTGAATGGAGAGAGCACTCTCCTGAGCCTCAACCAAAGCTGAGTACATAAAGGCCCACTTAGCTCACAGAGAGGCTCTACCTCAGTATAAGAACAGCAGCACAGGAGTGCTGGTACATCCTCAGATGCTCCCTGGGCAGGCTCTGAGCAAGCCTTTCTTGGCGAGTCTAAGAAGAAAGTTGCAGAGCCTGGGTAGCCCCATTCAGCCTCATGGGAATTTGTGGAACCCCTTTTTATGCTGCAACAAATGTGTAGGTATCTTGGCTTGATCAAAAATGTAGCCAATTATCCTTATCCTTCCACTGTTTCTCAGTGCAACACCCTTAAAATGGTTCCTCCAAGAGATTTGGTAGATAAAAAAGTACTTGTATAAGCAAGATGGACTCTTACATGTGTCCTATGATTGCTATGTGCCAACAGCATGTGCTCCAACGTTTTAAAGATGTTTCACAATGAACAAGTCAATGCTCATGACTACACTGCCAATAAGATTTGTCTAGACTCGGTACATAAAAAGCAGRACAGTTGTTTACAGCGTTACTTTTACCTTGTGATTTGCACACTAGCAAATTGCAGCAAAGAGGAAGTTTGGGAAGAAAGTATTTGCATTAAGTTTTTTAAAAGTCAGATCATTTAAATACTTTTAATCAGGACTATATCCACAAGAGCCCTGAAAGAAGTCCACAACTTGGAACAGATGTAGATGGCAATCCTTCTACAGGATGGAAAAATCCCACTCTCATTAGACAACGTCACTTGTTCATYTATATTCCAGTTTGAGCTAATGATGGCTGTGTTACTTTTACCTTATGACTCATTTTCAGCATGCTCTGGTTTATCAGCCATAATTTCAGTTGTCAGTCACTGTGTCAGAACACAGTTCCCCAGGAGCTATTCTGTACTGTCAGCACGAGCAAGCCTACCACTGAAGACTGGCATGCACTCAGCAGCCAATTACTTTCAGACACTGAAACATGTCTACCTTTTAAGCCTGACTTGTCCAAAACTTCCCCACCCATCCACCCACAGCACCATCTGTACTGAAACATCAAGAAGAAAGTAAAGAAATTTTACCCTTTCACTGCCAGATTTAAGCCTAAGGATGGAAAAAGGCTGGAGAGCTTTTCCAAGTTACTACCCCCTCATGGCATAATGATAAAAAAATAGATTTCCTCAGGGCACATTTCAAACATGCYGTGCTAAAAGCTTAAGTTTGCCTGAAGCTTGAGCTAGAAGAGCATGAATAGCTTGGTTCTATCCAACCAAATGCCACCTAACAGGCCTAGATGGACATGTCATGACAACTTGAAGAACAGTGGCCACATCAGACATGAAAACTACAGGCTCTGCCTAAAGGATCAGTGTCCTTTTTTCAGCTGGGATATACCTAATTTTCTTCTCTGTAGCTACAGTGCTGCGGTTTGGATTTAGTGTGAGAATAACACTGATAGCACAGTGATGGTTTAGTGGTTGCTGAGCAGTGCTTACCCTAACTCAAGGACTTTTCAGTTTCCCATGCTCTGCCAGGGAGCAGGTGCACAAGATRCTGTGAGGGACCATGGCCAGGACAACTGATGTGAACTGGCCAAAGGGATATCCCATACCACAGGACATCRTGCTTGGTATGTAAACTGGGAGGAGTTGGCTGGAAGCCACCAATCACTGCTCAGGCATGGGCTGGACTTTGCTGAGCAGGTGGTGAGCAAAGGTATTCTGCATCACTCATTTCTCTYGCATTATATTCCTTTCCCCTTTTCATTACAATTATAATTATTACTATTTGTTCCATTCGCATTATTGTTGTTTTATTTTACTTTATTTCAATTATTAAACTGTTCTTAGCCCATGAGTTTTACCTTTTTTTTTTTTTCCAAATCCCCTCCACATGCAACTAGAGCAGAGGGGGAGGTAGGAGGTGCAGGGTGTGAGTGCTTGGCTGTGTGATTCTTAGCTTAGSTCTGATGAGAATATCAGAATCTCCTGTGAATAAATCCAATTACATCATTTAACAAATACACTTTATCTAAATTCTAGCTTTCTCACCAGTCCAGCCAGTATAAGCAGAGCAGTCATGTGGATCTGCTGTCTTCAGGCCTTCCTCCATTTGTTGCAGAAGGTCCTTGATTTTTGCCTGGATACGTTTTGAGAACTGAGCATTGACCTGAAAGCAGGAGACAGGGAATGAGCCAGAAGAGAAAAAAAAATTAAGAATGCAGAGCACCTGCTCCGCTTTCTTGTTTGGGAAAAAAATGAAACCAAACCAACAAACCCAAACAAAAAATAACTAAGGAATAAATAATACACAGAGCAAACAGCAGCATCAAGATGGTTCATCTTAAGTGTGTCTCATGTAAATGCATTCTGACTACATTTTAGAGTAATCTACACTAGAAAAATTACCTATATGGATGCTTTAAAGTCACACAAAGAGCAGCTATGGACACTGTGACAGTATGTAATTCTAATCAGGGTCCTGGTACCAAGAGCATGTTATGGGCAAACAGCACAAGCCCTGTGCTATARAGGCTTGCTCTCATCACAAGATCCCTGCACATCCGTTATATCACTACAGAGCAGGAAACAGCCAAATGAAATGTTCATACTTGAGACAATCAAGCCAAAGTGGATAAGTAAAAGTAGCTCAGCAGCTTCAGYTCAGGGATGAAGGTAAAGAAACAATTCTTTGATTTTACACACAYTGCTTGCTTTTACTTTTGACCAATAAAGGTTAATATAGATGCTATGTATGAAATATAAGAGAGGATACTTTACTCTTGCCAATATTTCTCTCTCGTTATGCACACTCTATTGGAAGATATGTTACTGATTACGCCTTAAAGCCTATAGAACATGGAAATTAGCATGATAGTTAGCTGCTCTTGCTTGATTACAACACATTCCAAAAGCGTGGCATTTGGATAAAGCAGAGGCTCTGGATGCCACCATGTAACTGATTACTCAAGAACATACCACATTTTGTACTCTCATTCAGAATGGGCCTTCAAATAAAAAACAGTGATTTCAAACATCCATTCAACAGATTCAGAAATAAGAAAGACTACAAGAATTGCACAAAGCTTCTGACACAAGAAATCTCCAGGATAAGTGGTTCAAATCAATTTTAGGATATCCATGGTAGTACAGGAAGGAGGAGATTGTGCCATTATATCTCACATTGAACACATATTCCAGAAACAAGCTAGAGACACATTAAGTTTCTCCAGTATTGCTACAAATAGCAACCAAACACAGTAGGCATTTGAAGTCTGTCACTCTTCAGCCTTAACACGGTGTTAAGCACCTTTYTGTTAGTGAACTGCACTACGCATCCGCATCATCACCACTCCACCACTTTCCCATTTTTGACTAGTTCAGTGAAATGTCAACAAAAAGGAAAACCTTCCCCAAGGRCAGGGCTTCTCTCCTTCAAAAGACAGCTATGCCAATGCTAAGGCATATGGTGAAACAGCATGAGGATATTCATGTGGATGCATGCAGGCATAGAGCTCAGCTTATCTGACAAGAGTGAACTGAGGCTTCACACTCCCTATTTATTTACCTACTGCACATCACAAGCATGCTGGTTATCTTTTTGTTCTGACTACACACCTGCTGTTACCAAATCAGGATCTTTTATATCAAACACCAGACTAAATTACTTAGAGGTAGGAGGGGAATACTAGGCCCTCAGGACACCTGGGTTCTGCATTGAAACATYAGTCCCATACAAGTAATTTAGCTCAGGCTGGTAATCATCCCTCTCTCTAGAATGTGAATTGTAACCTACTTGTCTTGATTCAGTGCTTGGAAGAGCAGAGATGAAAGGATATATTATTATTATTATTAATTCTAAACAAAGCTACTCCCAAGCTTATGTTAATGTGAATAGGTCATAAGTGGCAACCAAGTTTTCCCCAGATATCTAGTCTTCCATCACTGCCTCTTTTTTTCTGGTTGCTCTGAAGCTTTCMCAACTGAGCACTGTCACTAATCATTTTATAAGATTCTCCTGTAAGCTTGTAAAGATGTTTACATGCATTAGAATAAATTAATTACATAAAGAAATKAATGTTGAAAGGTGGCTTTAGAAGATTTAAAAACTTCTTTCAAGGAATCTTAGGGCAGCATTGCAGCTGAGCATAACACGCTCACTTRTGTGGAGCACAGATCGATTTTCATCGGAAGCACATTCATCTCAGGATGTTTCCAGCTGGCATTCAGCCATTTCTGTGGGTGACCTGTAATTCCTGTAGGGACAAACAAGGAAACCAGGAAGCCTGATCTCTGATATCCAGTGGCACATTTACTTCTGGTTCACAACAGACTCGGTGGTAGCAGGAGCTGAAGAATATCTTTATAGAAAAGGCTTTCTCCAGGAATTCAACTGCTGCATTACTCCTCTGCTGCTGCAGAAAGAAAAACCACTACCATCCCAAACAAGTGCTCAAGTTTCATATTGTCAAAACAGAAAAAAAAGATAGCTCATTCCTCTTTACACCAAGCAGAGTTTTGTGACCTATTGGTTATGGTAACTGAAAAGGCTCATTATCAGCACAAACGTAATGCAGAATAAACAAAATACGTTGGTTTGGAAATTAATAATTTTGTTATTTATTTGAACCATATCGCTTTCTCCATTGCAGTGAGACAGTAGGCAAAGCTACACCCCAATACAAAGTCTTCCAAAGCCAACAAAAATGTAAGGAAGGTAAGTACTTATGTAACATCACTCACCTTTGGCCCTAATAACAAGGTGCCATGTCTAAATTCTGCTGTCATTGTCTGCAGTATGGGTTTTTCCCACTTTTTTTCATTTGTAGGGTTTCTAAAGAGAATTTAACTCATCATCTTTTGTAAATTTAGCATTAGAACTACACACCTATATTAGAGCACAGTGCTAGTAAAACCAATGTCATTGGTTTGATCCCCATACAGGCTATTCACTTAAGTCAGACTCAATGGTTGTTATAGGTCCACTCTAACACAAAATAGTCTGTTGATTCTGTTATTACAAAAAATACATCATGACGCAAATAAAAGTTTCCTAAAAATCCCACACATTTCACTTGYAGTCAACATTACAATAACACACCAATTCTTACTGACCTCCCTCTCCATTGCAGCCACATCCAGTTTTACAGCCATAGCTTTAAAACAAAATAGAACCAAGAGAAGACGAGGCAATAAGCAGCTGCTATGTATGTATTTTATATCATGATTTCTAGTAGGTAAGAGGATGTCTCTAACTTTAAAATCTAGCATGCACATTTGGACCAAATATCAATRTGCTGACATAAGTCTGACAATGCAATTCTGAGACCTCATGGCAGTCCTTTTGTCATCAAAAGTAACATTTTGGTTTGATAGACAGGGGACGAGTTACCTTATTTGCATTTGATAAAGACATTTAGATACCCATGTGCTGTTCAAAAACACCTCTTGGCATTTACTTGCTCATGACATCTATGCTAAGGAACTTGTGCAGAGTCTCAGAGGGGCAACGCAGACCTGAGGTCACAGCTTCACCACAAGCTGCCAAGGTACTAGTCTCTGTTGCCACCAGCAGCTCCCAAAACAATCATCTTGCTATTAACACTATTTTAATTCATCAGATTTAGGGGGACTGATGTTGTATRCAAAACCAGACTGAAGAAGTAAGCAACTGATTCTGCAGAAGTAGCAAGGAGATGACAATACACACAGTGCTACTTACCAAACAGGCAAAATATGTTTTTATTTAATCTCACTTTGTTTTTGGTAATGTGTAGAACAGGACACATAACATGGTACTATGTTGTCTTCCAGTCAAAGTGCATTTCAAAGAGAAGAAAATACAGCACAAGTTGRTACTGCAGCAAAAACTCATTCAAAACCCAAACTTGCATAGGAGATTGCAAAAAGGACAAGGCATAGGAAGAATGGAGTATGGGAAAACTCACAATTCTATTGAAACGAGAAAACCTGGCTGTGCTGAAGTCACTAGGAACTTTGCCACTGACTCTAAGGGAGCCAGGTTTCACACCCATGCGTTGGAGCATGGGTTTATTGAAGCATGATGAGGTCTCATGCTCACCCCCAGAGTTCCTGCAAAAGCAGACCAGAAGGGATAGCAGTAGGATCCCATACACACAATCTAGCAAGTTTTGCTAGGAGATGACCAGCCTTTTTGTAYAGAACAAGTTCCACTTTATTTTTACCTGTCAAAAGACTCTTACAGGTCCAAGAGCAGTGCCTTCTTCTCTGAAAATACCAGACATTATGGAAGCTCATCACCCAGCCTCTAAAACATTCAAACACAGCTCTGATAATTCTCAGRTCCTCCAGAAACAAATGCCAGTTCCACAAAACCACAGGCTTAATGAATGCTTTGAAACACTGCTGTCTGTAGAACATTGCACTCTTTTTCATTATCTGTCAGTGCCATACATGTGATAATGGAGAAAAAAAGTAAAAACAGGGYGACAGGAGGAAGACAGAAAGAAATCAATAGCTGAAGGCAAATTCCTACACTGCTACAAATGCCAGCTTAGGAATAGGCTTTAAACACAATCATCACCCTATCTCAGAGATATAAAGGAGAGAAAAACATCATTAAAAGACGAACATTCAAGTTATAAAAAGCATTATTTAAAGCACATAAGAAACAAGACTGTCTCTAATGCATTTGTGTSTGAAAGAAGCTGTAAGTCTTACTAGTTTAGGACAGCAAAAAAACAAAGCTTAAAGATTTAGATCRTTACAAAGAATAATCAAAAAGCTCCAGATTATTGGTAACAAGAATAAACATGAAAAACAGACATCCTATGTTTTAGGAAATGGAGAATGATAAAGCAAAAGAGCAATACTAAAAATTGCTGGTCCTCCGGGTAGCCTAACACCAGCATGCTACTTCTCGAAAGCTGAGAAAATAAAAGTCTGTTGTGAATATGATTTAAAGTCACTYGCTACACAGAAGTCTCTGGCCCAGCTGTGACATTTTTAGGTGGTCCTCAAGTTGCAAAAAAGCTAAAACCTATACCAATTCTGTCTCAATTACCACAGTGCATAGAGAGCAGGTATATTCCACATACTGAGCTTGACAACAGATCAGTGCAGTTACATCCAAGTAAAATTTATTTTCACCAGAAAGCAAGTACCTGTTATTGCACTAGCCCACAACAAGCTGGAACAACTCGCTAACATGCAGGCCTGCAAGAAAGATAAAACTAGAAACTGATGAAGAGTGGATGGATGTGAGACAATTTAATCAGAACTTGGGGCTTGATTTTATGAAGCATTTTCATTCAGAAGCGACTGATTAAAACCAAATAGGCCTAACTCTGTGGCTGAAGTGTTGTGAATAGCAGGAGAGGCTTTCATTACAAAAGCATCAGAAAAGCCCTAAGTGGTGCTCAGTGCTGATACATGCTGTAGGGAAGAAGAAGCAGTTCCTCTTCTTGGGCTGTGTACAACACCTGCCAGGAGTTAGTGAGGGACAATGAAGTACAACAAACTGATTTGCAGGCTCMATTTAGACCAAGACTCTCAAAAAACAAAACTTTAATTCTGAAGAATCACAGAGAATACTGCAAATCTTGTTTGTTTCAGAGTTCTCTATCAAAATAGCATATGCGTGAGATGAAGCCAGAAAATGGACAAAAAAGTAACAATCTCAAGAAATTCAGTTACCTCATCCCATGGGAAGAATTATTTACAGGTTTTGGAGGTTGAATTTTGCCTCCAGTGCAATGAACTGTACAATTCCCACTAGTATAAGCTGTTGCTGAGTCAGTCCCACAACAGAGAGAACTCGCTGCTCCCAGGGAGATAACTAAAATGCCCAATGAGACYGCCACCCCTCAGCAGCAAGCTCTCCTCACCCTTTTCCTTCCCAGSAAATCCATTACAGTTTTGTAATGCTCTACCACACTAGGGTACTAAGAACAAGGGAGTGTTCTTTGTTATGAGCCTAGTCATTTCTCTGCCTCCCCTGACCATCTACATTTCCATTTTGCCAACTTTTGGACCCCTTTGAGATAATATCTATGGTACCTTTTTAGACTAAGGTATCACTAAGGAATCCACATGAAAAGGAAAAAGGCTACAGGCTATCTGTTTAATTGAAAGAGTCATCACTTATAAAATAAAAATTWAAATTTAAAATTATGTTTTTTATTGATCTAGAATTAATGCAGTCTGATGAATTATAACCTTGGCTTTCTCAGACAAGAAGCAATCTAAGTTCATGATACTTTAATGGTGAAGAAATCTAGTTATGAAAACAGTGAATGTCAACTACATGAGCAGAGCCACAGATATAGCTGCAGTGTTTACTGTGACTATTTATAAGYAAGCAAATCAGCAACCTCAAATTCTGCTTCTCCTACTCCCACACCTTCAAGCTTTCCAAAYTATCTTACCCACACACACTTCCATATGCAGCACTTTGTCCTGATTGTCTCACATTTCAGACAATGCCTTGAAGAGCTTCTTGCCCTTTTATCAACCAGGTGAATTTTAGATGGCAATCATGCCAGACTAAGAAATCAAATGGAGGGATTARTAATGCATTGCCTTCCATGACAACAGCAGAGCCACGCACACCTCAGGTTGTCATTTATGTGAGTCACTCAGCATTCCTTGCTCCACTCAGCAGCGGATGAGAGGAATCATGCAGTGTACTGAGGCCTTCTGAAAGATCCTCTCATTTTTAAGAAACCTGTGGGCTTGTGTACAGAAGTTTACAGAACAGATTTCCTAGTCTGTGTAAAGTCCTTTTGTSTTCACTCAGGCTTTAGGCAAGCAAAGACATTCCCTGATGGAACTGGAGCCTATTAAATCCAAAAATAAAACACCAAAACACAAACCAAAAATCACAAACAACAAAAGMACCCCAAAGTACCCATCACAAAGTCTCATAAAAGTATAGCACTAGGCATGACTGCAYGCAAATACTTCAAAGAATATAACTACACATAAATATATTCATAGCCATATTCTAGCTCAGAAATATGGAAACGACTCCCCAGATTTTGCAGATGCAAAACAAAAATAAAATGTACATTTGCATCTGCCTTCTCCTATGAAACACACAGAATTGCTGTAGTTMCATGGTTTTAAGGCAGTACAGAACATTATTTTTTTTTTCCAGAGGTGCTTCATCCCTTCAAATGTAACAAAGCCCAGACATCACCTTTTATCAAGTACACGGCCACTCAGGTGCTCTAACATATTTTCTGAACACWCCTGCACAAATGGCTGCTGACTGCCACACCATAACAAGGAATGTCATTCACCTCTGATACTGGGAAAAACATTAGCACCTACTGTAAAACAGCACACTCCTCCACAGGAGAGCATAACAGGCATTCCTAGCAGAAACATAAGGCTAGAAATTCTTGACTCACTTATTTCAGCTCTGCCACATAACTATGTCTCTGAATTTAGATTCATTAAAGAATCAAACCTGAAGTAAACTAGAGCTGAATTGTTCTGAAATACAGCTAAGATATTCTAAAACATAACTTTTAAGGATGTTCACCATTTGATATCTCACTAATTTTCTGGTTATCTGACTTTAGATAGCTCTAGTCCACCTACATCAGCAGTAAATGAAGGAGTATCTCCTCTTTTAAAAAATGGACATGAAGTTTGGGATCCAAAACAGATATACAAGAAGGATGACTTGCCTACGAAGGCCTTAGAAAGAAGCTCTTAGTATGTTTTTTACCAATTTAACAACAATTTATAGCTATAACTGTCATCTCCTTTCTGCCTTTATACTTTAACTCATCATACTTGAAAGATTTTTACATACTACGAATATAAAAGAACAAAGAAATAACAATTCTGTTCCACAAGAAAAGAAAAACACTGAGCACACTACCAGGGAGTTGTGTAAAAAACAAAGCACATTTCACTTTCAAACCTACTGTTCCTTTTTAAATCTTCTCAAATRCTCTGCTTTTGACAGCTGCAATTAACTGCAGCAGTAAGACACTGAAGYCCCAAAATATTCTCTTTTGTGSACTCTGCTTAGCCACATACAACTTCATAAACCTCAGTCAGAACAACTTAGTGAAACCTTTCATTGYTGAGCTGATGCTCTCCTGCTGGCACTTAAAATGGTTAGAGAGAATGTCCCTTACTGCTGGGCATCACCATCCTTGTCTCATTCCATCAGTAWGTCAAGGTAATTCCATATTGCCACAAGCAGAAAAATAGAGAGCTGATATCAACAGCTTTGCTTTATTCACCCCAGCATACAATCAAGGGAGTTAGGAAGCTAACTTCCCACCCCCACCGCATTTGTGCTTGTAGCAGTGTTACCATAGAGAGTTTTTAATGCAAAAGATGACAAAGCTGCACCATATTGAAGGATGAAGCTGCACAGGAGCTAAATGATGACAGAAGGTCCATATTCTGGCATTTCTTCTGCACCTTAATCCAGCCCATGTGKTAACAGGCCAGGCCAGAGCAGCTTCTATACTCAAAACCTAAGACACTCATCATATCCCAAACAGCGTCTAGCGTCAAGGAGACAAGCAGAGCAGGAAGACTGCAACCCTTGTGTGACCAGCGCCATCAGGCAGACCTTCTGCAGGCATCAACAACTGCCAGGTGCCTATCACGGTGCACCTGAACCTATAAAGSTGTGTATGTTAGTAAATAAACGCGTGAGAACGGTCTAGCATCACTTAATGCCTGAGTGTTGCTTTTACCTGAGGAAAAAYTATGSTTTTCTAGAYGGGCGCTCATCTTTTCCCTTCCCTWATRCACTTTTTCTGAGCACTTTTTCTGGTGAAACTCGGGCAACTTGCGCTGACAGCTTCTGAGAGACAGWACCATAGTGGTAAGAGCTGTTCTGCTACACAGCCGTTCTGTTATCCCGTGGTCGGGCACCGCGTTCACTCCCGTACCGGGGCAAAACASACAGCTCGAAGAAACAGCCGCTCCTGCCGACTTCCAGCCGAGCGGCCGGGTCGAGCTTCCGCTCCTTCCCTCAGTTCACCCCGCCGCTCCCTCCCCTCGGGCACTCCCTCGGCCGCGGCGGCCTGCCCAGGGCGCAGGCCGCGGGCAGCCCCATCGCCCCCACCGTGGAGCCCGCGCCCCGCCGGGGCCGCCCCGGGGCGGAACCCACTGCCGCCCGAGCCGTGAGGGAGCGACCCGCAGGTGCGGCCGGGCCTGGGGGCCCGGGACATGGCGCCTGCCTGCTGCTGTCCGCCGCACGGGACTCACCTTCCCATCGGCGCCGAAGGGGAGGGACTCCTCCTCCGCCGGCTGCAGCAGCGCCCTGTCCCGGTGGGCGTCCGCCGCGCTGGGGGCTGCCACGGCTCCCTGGGGCTGGTAGTCGGGGTAGGGGTTAGCGAAAGCCCGCTCCTCCATYTCCGCTTCACCGCCCAGCTGCAGCTTCAGCCTCTTGGACATGCTCTCTCCCATCTCAGCCGGCCCCCGGCCCGCCTCCCCGCACGGCGAGCCGGCGGGGACACACTCCGCCCCGCAGAGCGGCGGCTTTGCAGCAACGCGAGCGCCGCGGCCGCCTCCGGCTACAGCTGCCCCCGGCTACAGCAGCCGCCCCGCGGGCGCCGGGGTTGGGTCAGGAGGGCGGCTGTGGCGACAGTGCCCGCGGCCGCGGGCCCATCGGGGCCGCCTCAGGGCGGAGGCGCCGCCGGCCCCGAGCCACCGAAGCCCAACTTCGAAAGGAGAAAGGGAARGCTGCGACGCCGCGGCTCCGCTCGGCGTTCCCGTCAGCCGGGGCGGGGGAGCGGCGAGCGCGGCGGCATCACATCCTTCACAGGGGCAGAGCGCGGCCGGGGCCGCGGCCGGGTCCCCCCACAGGATGAGGCAGCCCGCCCGCCCGCGCAGGCTGGGTGGCACCGCTGCAAAGCTCGCCCCAGCGCCTCATCCTCCCCCGCCGGGGCGTCAGTGCCTCGGGCTGCTGCTGCCACCGGCCGCACGCCGGGCGGCGGAGCTGGGCTGCCGCCGGCTCCTCCCGCCCGTCCCCCTGCGGCGGGGGCGAGCCGCCGCCCGGCGCATCTCAGAGGAGCGGCAGCAGCAGCAGGAGGGGCACGGACAGCCCCAGGAGCAGGCAGTACGCCACCAGCTCCTTCGCCCGGCCCATGCGCAGCCGCTGCCGGGCCGCGCTTATCCGCCGGCAGCCCCCGCACCCAGCGCGCCGACCCCCGGCCAGCCCYGGCGGGAGGGACGGACGCAGCCCTCGGTTACCGCCCGGCGGGGACAGCGCAGGCGACGGCGACCGCCCCTCAGCCGGCGAGAGGAGGCAGCTCCCMGGGGAGAAGGGGGGTGGTCTCCTTCCTTCGGCCCGCCCCCGGGCTGTAATGTTGACCGCGCCGCGTTCACTGCTCCGCGACGGCGAGGCTGCTCCAACAAGCCCAAATATATTAAAAAAAACACCTCCAGTCCCGCCCCTCCCCCCACAAAGACATCAGAAAACCTCACAGCCCTGGAGGGGGCTGGCGGCGGTGGGTGGGGAAGGCCCTCAGCGACCGGCGGTGGCGGCTGGACGTGAGGATGGGATGCATCCCACCTGGGGAAGAGCAGCGCCTGGATCCCCTGTGGGTCGCGTCTGTGTCTTGGATCCAGTCCTTGGAGGGGGGGTCTAAATGCCCGGGCACTGTGTCAACATGAATTCAGTCCGTCGTTTTATGACACCTCCACTTTAAGCTAGGAGGACAGCTCCAGATGAAAGGRCACTGAGCATTCATCGAGGACAAATGTTTTCTATTCACAAATAAATGGTAGATTGAGTCGATATTGTCATAGGCTTCAGAAATTGATTCTGCATACTGAAATACCTTTGTGTAGAAACASCCAGCAGAAAGGCTGCAATCCAGCCAAACACTGCTCACAGTATTGTGTAAAAATATGGACACAGGAGACCTAATTATCCCATGAAATATTTATGTTATAAACACATGTTATAGTGTTGGCTTTTGCAAATATTAAGACGAGTGCTATGTGAAAAAAAATTGCCTTTTTTTTGCATAAGTAGCTTAGTTATGCAGACACAGTGGTAAAATCATCACTGATGGGTTTGTTTTGTAACTCAGATATAGTTATAGAATACTTGTGGTTAAACTGAAGTGTTATGACTTGTGACTTAAACATTTCCATAAAAGGTATTTTTCATATTATAGCAAAACTATACAAAAGCTGCAAAGAAAGTCACCAATAAAACCCTGAATGAGGCCCTGGCGGCAGTGGTCCTTAAAGATAAGAAGCAGCTCAGAGCTGGAGAAAAGGATGCATACATTCACAAAGAGATCACAATGCTTAACACCTTAGAGGTGAGAAAGCCATCGTCCCAAGACTCTCAGCTGCCAGACCAGCACAGACCCTGACTGCGAAAGGGTAGGGGTGGAAGGAACAGAGGCTTTGGGATATGTAGTGGAAAATCTCTAGTCAGAGCTTGTAGAATGTTCTTGCTCTGCTACTCAGAGGAGCCTGGCTGGTGGGACCCCCGGGCTTCGGATGGGCTTATCTGCATGGACAGCCCAGGGGCTCCTGCTTCGGGCACTTCCCTATCAACAACTRTCATCTACTGAAACCACGGAACAGGGGCTACACCGGAGGAGGTGCCTTGCTAAGAAGTTCCTAAAAAAGTTTGAATATACATAAAAGCCGATAAACAAGCATTAGGCTGATGCAATACAAAATGTATTTAAAGATGTCTCCTGTCAATAGCAGGTGTGCCTCTGGCAGATCACCAAGCACCTKTGTCGTATCCTTTTGCTTTTATGTACCCTATTGTCATTTATTAAAACCTTTTAAATTTTAACAGGACAGTGAACCTCATTTTTKACATTTACTCCCAACAATGCCATTCTTTTTGCTAGTAATTGTAAGTCAGACAGACCATAAAGCATTAATTCAATARCTGGATGCTGTGCAGACTTAATGATCTTTAGTTTTATGCATTGGGTAATTTGATTGCTATCAGAATGCATATTCAGTGTGTAAGATTAAATATAGGTGGCATCTGTCCTGGCATTGGCTTCAGCTTACAGTTATTTGTAGCAACATACATGTGAACAAATGGAACATGTCTGTCACCTTGTCACAGGCTATGAATTTGAATKAATACTTTCTTAATTGCATTTATTTTTATAAACTGAGCTGATAACAAAGCAGAAATTCCAATCAACCTGTCTGGCAAGAAGTACCTTGAATTTGCTCTGGAATTGAATATAGCGAGTCACTTTAAAATTAGAGTCATCTATAAAATGTCCTCTCCTGTGCTAATTTTTTTAAAATCACTTTATGCATTTATTCTTTAATGGGTGAGTCTTTTGTGCTGTATTGCAGTGCCTGAAAAGATAAATGCAGAACCTTTAAAAAACATCTCTTGTCTCTGTGTAATTGTTTCTCTGTGTAATATGTTTTCATCTAGAATGGTGGAGACCAGCTGCACCAGTGCAAGTAACTGCATCCCCATAATGAAGATCAGAGTTAAGCCTTTAATATGAGTGTGCATGGCTTCTGTTTTCATRCACCACCTACTCTCCTTGAACCAAAACAGTGGGAATTTAAAAGCAGGATCATACCAACTGGTATCTGCTCAAGGCCTACAGATGATAGATGATAGCCTTGCAAGACCAGGTTCTTCCCTTCTTCTGGAGTTGTGGGTTTGGGGATTGGTGGTTTGGCATCTGTTTCCTTTTGCATCGTTGCTGTTTGATTATTTGCACGCTGCTGCATTTAACATCCTGTTTTCTGGAGCACTTCCTTTCATATTCACTGTTCTTCACATTTGTTGCAATGTRTTGCATTTAGTTTCAAGCATACAAAGCCTTCTTTTGTTCTTAGCAGGTGGGMTAGAGCTCAAAAGCCTTCTAGGCTTTTTTTCAGAGAGTGTTTTTTCCTTTTACTCTTTTACTCTTGATGCATGCAGAGCTCCCACAACCTGAATGGGAATCATGCATGGAGGAGGAGGAAAAAGTTGGGCTGAATAAGGTGTCAACCTGTAACAGAAGTTTTAAGCAATAATAAATTCACATCTCTCATCTCCAGCAGTATGAAGCAGGAGGCTTCACCTACTGAAATAATGATTTCATTTGTGATTTCATCTGGAAAATTTTGAAATGCTACCAAAAACACTGAACCCTCACCCTTACTTCCCATTCCAGCTAAGCACTCCTGTAACCTGCCTTCCGCAGCACTGGCAARTGTGCAGCCCTGCAGCAAGCTRATCTAGTCAAAAGCTGTCYTTTTCCTTCCTGTGATGTAGGTCAMATTCAGCTAATGTCTAAACAAAGCCTGATTTTTACTTAGAAATAATTTTTTTCATGTGCATAATGTAATGGAAGTTTTTGCTTATCAGATCAGTGGGCTATTCATGTTTCACACAAGAGGCAACCGTAAACCCCTCTCTTCTGGTCTTTCCTCTTTCACATCCTGCAGTGTCTGATACTCCTCTCACAATGAGACCAGTGCAAATGTTTTTAATAGTTAAATAAAATATCTGTTACACTTTTGGTCAGGACTAAATAATAAGAATCCATACATAAACCATTAATGATGCTGTGCTTTCCTACGTATTTTGCTGCTTGATTCCCAGCATGCATAGTAAATCAACCTAACTAGCAAGGTAGGAAAGAGGATTGTATATCACAGTAAACCCTCTGAGGACTAGCACGCAGCGGCCCTTCCTACTACACTTCAATGATGCAATGTTATGTGGCTTGTGGAACAAATGTGAGCAACCGACAGGAATCTCCACAGCTCTAGCTGTGACATGTTCAATGGTTCTTTCAGCTTCTGTAATCATTCTTATTACATATAATAGTGCTCATTTATTTTCMTGCACAAAGGCTCCATATATTTGCATGCAACAGCCCTGTCCACGCTTTGCTCCGTGGAGACAGGATGATGGGTACATGACTTCAGCACCCGTGCTAAAGTGCTTTTTAAACTCTGGGAAACCAGTGTAGCAGCTGGCATTAATCGCGTTTTGTTTTTGAACATAGAGATCCAGCTGAAGTTAACTGAGAGAAGGAAGAGCTTCAGGAATGGATGCTACTAATGTGATACATAGTGGAGTACAAGGCTGTGCATTGCTTTATTTAGTGTGGAAAAATAAGGTATGGCAATTCTCAGGTAGTGTCAAGTAGAACAGCAGATGAATGRAGATAGGGTAGTTTATACCTGCTGCAGATCAGGGGTCATACTTKTATTGAACAAAAATATAGTCCTTGTATTGGCTTTTGGTTTTTCTCTGGYCATCTCCTCTTCAGGCTGCTCTCTGTCTATGATGCATCCTTTCTGCTCTGCAGCAAACCTTTTTCTCCTTGATCACTACCGTAAGCCTGTAAGAAATGGCCTATAAGAAAGGACTTCCTAATTCCATTTCACCTGTCTTTAGCTGCACTTCCTGGTTTCTTTTTTACCTCCACCATTGTATAACAATATATTCTGCAATTAAATTATTTAAGGCTTTTTAGGTCYAATAAACTATGGGGGGCTGCTGCTTCTAATAACAATGATATTATGAAGTAAAATATTCAGGGTCAGGTTTTGCATTTTAAGTGCAAAGGTCTTGCAGGCTTTGGACCAAATTCAGTCCTGTGTTCAGTAATGCAAYACAAGAACTAACTGATCTGTGTGAGACATTATTATCATATTGTTCRTTTATCGGAAGCAACAAATTTCTCTGGTTGCTGTTAATTACTGATCCCTATTATTGTATAATGTTGCTGCTTAAGATCTCAAAGATTCCTGTGAATCTGAGAAGACAWTTTGCTACTCAAGCACAAAATAAATGTTTCACTAATGTTGTTCTCTTCTTATTTTCTCTTCTTATCTTTGGTCTTGTAGCAGCAAAAGCAGTGTCACAAAGTCTGTTGCACTTCTGTTCTGATGACTGCCTGCTAATAAATGATAAGCCTGAACAGCAGCTGTTGCACTTGAACTTGTTTTTGAAGAATAAATTTTGTTATAATCAAACATTTATGTTGCTTGTGCTCTTATTGCCAGTGACTTTTTAATGTGCACATCCTGAGCAATACAACCAATACTGAAATAATGCAAAGATGCCTGTAAATGTTCTTAGATGTCTTTATTGTCT